GCTTTTGTTATACCTTCCCCAAAGGGATACTGCAGTTGTTACTTACCTGTAGGCACCACAATAAGATCTGAGACACCGAATTAAGGTTTTATACACACCAGTTCCCCAGTAAATGAAAAAAATTAAAAAAAAAATAGATGTCATATGTTAAATTGCTCATTGCAAACAATCATTTTGCATTCCTGCAAATAAAATTGTTTTATACTGTAAGCTGGAGGCAAGTGTAACTTATTTTTGTAATAAAGTTTTTATTTTTTTTATGTGTCATTAATATAAATGTGTGTTAGTGCAGAAATCTTCTGGTTTAAAAACTCGTGCGCACACATTTCAGTATGTTTACTTGTATTTACATTTTTTAGAATAGTCATTTCCAGTAGTCTGTCTCTCACATTAATTGAATTTTTGTTATATTAATAAACCATTTTAGTATATTGTATGTCAATTACTGGGATAGCTGGGACATAAAGTGTAATTTAAAATTTGTCAAGTATTCATGGGAATATGTAAATGTGCCTTGCTAGTTAAGAGAAAAGCTAAGTGGCTGATGGTAAAAAGTCATTGCTTAATGAAACACCTATTGCCACAGTTTCATATGCTGCCCATGGTAAAGTTCTACTTTCCATATTTGAATAAGAAATATGAGTGTTGCATCAGCTTCTAAAATCTTAAACTTGATAGGATGAGGTTTATGGAATTTAGGTTTGCTAAATGTAGCCTTAAATTTTGATTTCATTGTAATCCTTGGTATTGGCAATCCCAGTGCCAAGGAAGTTGAAATGCTCCCTTCAATGAGGTTGTAGTGCCAACTGGCATCTTTACTGTCATGGTTTAATGAAGAGCACTGTCAAGGTGTTCATGCCAAATCTGACCTGATTCTTTATAGGAATTTTAGAAAGAGGGAAAACCATCTTACTTTGGATCTTCCAAATCCCTTGCATTGCTGAAAAACAAACTTCTTAAAAGTTTTCAAGCATGACTGATTTTGATGGGGGGAAGTAAATGATTATTTATTCAGAACAAATATTGATGCAGATGAAAAATGAAATTTTACAATAACATGGAAGCTGAAATTGTAATCACGCATCCACAAGATAAGGTGGGCTATAGGATACATGTCAAAATGGACTGGAATTGACTTACCTGTAGAGTTTGTAAGAAATGGTGAGTAATAAGTAACAGAATCTTGACAGTGTTCTCGAATAATTATGAATTCAAGCCATTCTGACTTTTACAATTAAACATTATTTGCACTGTTCTGACATTGGTGCAGTTTTTTTAACAGTATAATGATAAAAGCTACAGTAAAATGCATGTGGAAACTTGTATTGTGGAAAAAATGATCTTTTAAGAGAAAATGTTAATTTTGAAAGTTTTAAAATTGAATATGTAAAGGAAATGATACTTCACTAATGGATATATAGATATATGGTTTTAGATAACACTTAATTGATCGTGATGGATGTCATTGTTGTAGATCACATCAACATTAATTGAAGTTATCAGCATATGATGCTTACGAAATATCACACATCCTGTTATATTAAGACAGAAGTTTACTATTGTATTACAGCAGAAATGTTGGAGGTATATAATTCTGTGTTAGCTTATATATTAATGAAGGTATTTGTGTTCCAGAATTGAGTAGCTTATGCAAGTTACTGTTGAAGCTTATAGAAGAGCTTACAGAAAACTAAGGATTGGAACTAGTCTATTTTAATGAAAAATAGTATTTCTTGGAACTCATGTTTAAAGCAATTATTCTAGACTTTACAGTCTACATTACATAGCATATAGCTGAACTAAAGTGAACTTGATAAGCAACAATATTTGCAAACAGTGAATATAAGAAGTGATGAGTAAACTAAATTTGATTGTTAATACCGGGGGTGTCAAACTGCCAGCCCGTGGGCCGGACATGTCATCAGGAAGCCGTGCCCACCTCATTGCTGGCAATGGCAAAACCGTCCCAATACGTTGCGTGATGTTATATGACGTCGTGAGTTTGACATGTCTGGTTTATACTCTAATAAGTACTTTTAATCACAGGTAGTATATAACTAAGTTTGGCTGAAGTGGAAAAAAATCTGGAAATCCCAGGGCTTATATATTAGACAGGGGCAATTGCCACTATTTGAATAGTTTGTCATGTATTGACATGATCATCAAAAATTAAGCACAATTTAAGACAGTCGTTAAAGAATATTCTGACAAGAAATCATTAACTGAGAATTGTCAACTACATAAAGGTATCCTGAAATTCTGTTTGCCCTTCAAAGATGGCTTTTAAAGAAAACTGTAAAAAAGTATGCATATACTTTTGATAGTCCTTGGTAAAAAGTTATGTTCTATGAAGTAAATAGGGGTGATGTTAAGCATACTTTATTACAGTAAAAGATGGGAAAAAATCACACATTGGAAATGAAACTCAAATTATTAAAAAAAAGATATTCGTTAAAAATGAAATAGTTGTAAATTGATTTAAGATCGTACAACTTACTCTTGAGATTAGAATCAGTATTTACTTATAAGTTAAATATGAATGACTAACTGGATACTATATTTAATCAAGCAATGAGTTTTGTTGGATTTAATTGCTACAAAAAAACCTGTGATATTGTATTTACTATAGTTGTGTTATGCCATAGTATTCCAGTGAAAGTATTACACTTGTTAATACTTTTTAGAACAAAACTTCAAGATGTTATATGAAGTGTATACTGCTCCCTCCCCCCCCCAAAAAAAGACTTGGAATTCTAGGAATAGTACATGTGTTGAACACTCAGAAACATAAAGTTAATATTAAATGATTAATGTCATACATATTTAATCCTAATATTCACATACCGTTCTAGAATAGGGATATGTTAGTATGATTGTCTGGTATTCTGAAGAGGTTGTGCACAGACAACGGAGGTAAGTAGGTAATAAGATTTCGGTATGATTGAGTTAAAACAGGTGATATAAAATTCTAAAAAGGAATTCCTCCATTTTAACCCATCTGCAGACAAAAGATGGGAAAAATGAAAATTTGCCAGTATTATTCTGCCAAGCACACTAACTCACATTCAATTTGAAAATGTCCATGAATTCACAGATACAGAGATTGGGGGCAAAATGATGCAAATTGCCCTTTGAAATGTTGTCCCAGAAGCAAGGTGAGCTTCCATTCATGGCCTTTTGGAAAGATCTGTAGACCTGGCTGTGCTTCCCCACATAGCTGTAGAGAGAGCTAACTTGCTGAAGCACTTACCCTGCTTGTGAGATATATAGCTTTTGTAAGATACCTCTGTGAGATATATAGCTTTTGTGTTTTTATGCCTATGTATACACCACCCAGAAGTGTTCTGTGAGGGAGATCAATGGTTTCTAAATGTGATCTATATAGATTAACCTAGGAATAGAAAAGCATTCATAGAATATTAATATACGAGGACTCTTTCTTGAATGCAGAACATAACTGTTTTAATAATGTACTATATTCCAAACGGAATCATCAATTCCATGCCAGTACCAAAGCCCTTATTTGTAGTGGGATTACAAGGCTGGGACATCGTACATGAGAAAATTTACATGCACAGACATTTGGATGGTTGTGCCAAGAATAACCATACTTGGATTACTTTTTCTAAGACTATTTAGATGAAACTCATTTGCTCTGTGGGGGTGGTCATTTTGTATAGTTTGCATTTATACTTAGTAGTTTAATTCTGAAACTACATTTAATTTTTGTTGGATATTGACTATTTCATTGCAAGCTAAAGTACAAAATGTGTATACTTTGTTAAAATAACCTATTGACTTAATATCTAAAGGAATGGGTTAGAGTAGGGGTGTCAAACTGCCTGCCCACGGGCCGGATGCATCATGGCGAAACAGCGCCCACCCCATTGCTGGCAATGGGAAAAAAATTCACGACACATCGACACGTCACGTGACATTGTGAGTTTGACACCCCTGGGTTAGACGATTGTGGGAATATCACATGATAATGAGTTCTATGCTTTTTGTTCATGCCACAAAACTGAAGCTTAAAAAGATTTTTTTTTTTTACTTATAATGATCCAGGTCACACTGCATAGCAAGCCAAATTAGGTTTATCAAAATGTTAAGAAGCTATTTTTCCTGCAATTTAATTTCATATTAGTTTTGATTTGCACAATAATAGTAGTTAGCCTTATAGATGACATTATTAAAGGAATACATCCTAGCACAAACACATGACATAAAAACCATCTTTCTATATAATGCAGTTACTTAAGCTTTAAAACACAAAACTCAAAAAAGTTTCAAATACATTTTAATACCTTAGAGAAGGAGGGTTATACTTTCAGCATTAATAACTCAAGACTTTCCATAAATGGAGTTGCCCATAGAGAAGGCTGTTCCCGTGCATATAATTTCATTGGATAAGGGGCATGTCAGAAACGTCCAGAAATCTCCATTTGGGTCAGGAAAATATTTTAAAAATATATTCCTTTAAATATTTACAACCCAAATTGTTCATGGTTTTAAAGATATAGAAATGGACTTGGAAATTTTTGGGAGATCCATTATGTAGTCCGATTATATTCATTTCTATTTAGCTCAGCTGAGAGGTTTCTAGGGTATAATATACAGTATATCATTGGGGGAAAGAGTCCTGGGATGTGCGTGATAAAACTGCCTTAAAACACAGCAGCTGTCTCCCATTATAGCCAGGAAAGAATAAGGGGCTTGCAAATTGTAACCGACTTTGTTTTAGCAGAGTTCATCCAGTAAACAGGCTTGTAGCTTGTAGCCAGCTTTAAATTAATCTAGAACAGCGACTTAGCAGTAAAATCAAACAAATGTCAATTGGTCAGCAAACTCACATAAGCACTTTATCAAGAAAGACGTTAATAACCAGTCTCTTGGAAGCCTGCTCCGTGTCCTCGATAACCAGCTAATTATGTAGCCGCACGCATTAGCGGAGCAGGTGAATGCAATTTATCGCTGGTGACGTCCAACTGGTTTGCATCGGAAGTGATGAACGGGAACGGTATACTCCAGGGATTGCTTAAGTATAACTGTCAGCTTCCCTCAATATTTGCCATATCGGCTGCAAACGAACGAAAATTGGAATTGATATTCAGCAACATCTGGTCCCCAAGTTTCCTATCCCTGCTGAAAAACCATCTTTCTGCAATGGATTTGCGGGCAGGATACACTGCAATCAAGCCCAGGCATATCTTGAGGGAAGAAGCCTTCGGTTCGGGAGGGAGCCGCCGCGTTTTTAAGAGTTTCAAGGCTTCCATCCAACAGAAAGCGGGAGGTTCGGCGTTCCGGGCATCTGGGGAACGATTGACGCCGCCATTTTAATCGGCTTTATTTCCTCCAGGCTAAAGGGCAATCTAAGAGTCACGGTAAGGGCGGAAGTGCCTCCTTATATTCCGTTCTGCCCCTTCTTGTTTGGTCGATAGCTTTTGCAACTTGAGAGATCGCGAGAAGAATCAAAGAAACGACCGAACTCCGCTTCTTTCAAGCAGCGGTTTATGGGCGATAACTAAGGGAACGGGAGAGGAAAGTAAGCCAAGAACGGCTTCGGGGCCGGCGAGGATTATCTTCCGCCCAGGAGAAGCGACGCTATTGGTCTAGCCCTCCGCCACGTGATGCAAAAGGCTCGAGTGGTGGAAACCGGAAGGCAGGGGCTTTCGGTCCCTTCAAGTGTGCTACGGAGCGCCTGGGGATCCTTGGGTCAAGCTGAAGCTGGGGGCGCGGTCCCCCCCCATCCTCCAGGATGAGGTGGGCACGCGCGGCCGTGGAGAGGCTGTGCCAGCGCGCGCGCCGGGTGGACTTTCTGCGCGAGACCTGCCGGCAATACCCTTTGTTTTGCTGTATCTTTTTGGGGTTCAGTGTGGCAACGCTCCTGCTCAGCCGGTAAGGAGAGAAGCCCGCCTGGGGTCCGGGTCCCCCCGTTGCGGCGGTGATGCTGGCCGATATGAGCGAGGTGGCTTGGACTTGGTTACATGTGTTGCTGGCGCAGCTTCTCCCTACGGGGCGATGGAGGAGGATATAACTCGAGAAGGAAAACGATACTTTTTGATAGGATGAAGAAGGGGAAGATGTGATGGCTTTCTAAAACAAGAGGCAAAAGAGGGCTTGCCTTTTGATATGACTGGGATGCCACGGGAACCATATAAGTTACCCAGTGGTTCTCAAAGTATGTAGCGCTGCGATCCCCTAAAAGTCAGTGGATCTGTGCCACAGCCCCCGCCCCCCACAAAGGAAATAATTCTATTGAGGTTGGGAAAGAAAGATATGTTACTTTTATAAGTTTTATTCCCACCACCATCATAATATATACCACAGAGTTATTGAATGTTGTGGAACTGTAGTTGTAGGACTTGCTCTGGAAAATGAGGAGTAAAGCTCAGAACCAGTTTTGGTAATGCCCTACTTTACTGTTGCAAGTGTGATTGGGTTATTTTTTGTTCTTTTTAAATGTGATTTCCAGGGGGCTCTGGCTCACTCATCAAGAACCCCTGGCCAAGTAAGAATTGGAGGCCAATAAGATTAGATACACTGACATGGAAGTGGCTGGATTGTTTTCCCTTCTCCCAGCCCTTCAGTTTACCGTACTGTACATGTAACTCGAGCATAGCACACATTGTTTTCACCAACCCCAGTCAATTATCCAAGTTACTAATTTCTTACCATATGTTTATGCTCTTCCTTTTAGCATGATTCAGGCAGGTAGAAGGCATAAACATAAACATGTATGATTGTTTTTCTTCTTACCAACTTTCTAAAGGAGTCCAGTTAATTTCACTTTTTGTCTCAGTGTACATAATCCACTTATAAACATTTTGATGTGAAGGAGGGATTTATAATTTACCAGTGAAACAGCTTGCCTTCAGACATTGTAGATGCTTCATCACTGGAGGTGTTTAAGAAGAGACTGGACAGCCACCTGTCTGTGATGGTATAGGGTCTGCTGCTTGAGCAGGGGGTTGGACTAGAAGACCTCCAAGGTCTCTTCCAGCTCTATTCTGATTGATTGATTGATTGAATTGTTCCAATATAAACAAGGCTGGTTTTCTTTTCAGTTACACTTCAAAAGTTCCTTTTAGAAAAAAAGGACAGTATGAATTGTTCTTACTGAGAGATATGAAGAAGTTGGTTAAAACAATGGATGTCAACACTAGGGAATTTTAATATTTATTTACAGTATAGCTGTTTTAGAAGACTAATAAGAGTTATAGTTTATACATCTGTTAATGCCAGGTAGAGGAAATCTTATTTATAAGCTGTGGTCATACTGTATGCAAAACAAAATAAAATTCAGATAACAAGTACATTGTCAGAATCTGGAGAGGACCAGTTAAGGAATAACAGACTTGTGAGTCTTGAAAGCATAGCTAAAAATTTTTTTTAAAGTAAACTGCTATTCTGATTTTAATTGTCAAGACATAATAGCCTCCAAGGCAAGGTGAAACAGTGCAGATGTGTTTACACTATTAGCAAAAAAAGGTCTGGTTAACAATTGAGTGCTTCCTGCCATTTCCCCCTGCTTGTCTTAAATTGCTTTTTATCCGAACCTAGAGCAACAACCTCTTTGGAATGATAGAAATAGGGATGTGTAACCAGGGTTTATTGTGGGTTTGTATATGTGGAATTTTTTCCTTCCTGAAATAGTAGAGGAAAGGATCAAGAGTAAGGGCCAGGTGTAAAGGACTTAACCGATTCCATCTGCAGCATGATCCCAGTAGTTGCTTTTTGGTTATTGTAAAGAGATTTCCCCTTAGATTGCTGAAATGAAACTAAAGCATCAAATCCTTCTTTTTCCCTAACCCATAAAATTGCCAGCTTTTTTTGAACTCAAGACAAATTCATATTTAATACAGTATTTATATCCATTTTGGAAATCTTACACTGAGGAGATAGATTTTTAAAAAAAACTAAAGTTGGGTTTTGGTTGCCATTTTCCTTCCTTCCTTGATGTATGATGTTTGCATGTTCCTAACTACAATACTTTTATTTATTTATTTATCAAATTTATATGCCACCCATCTCTCTATCCAGAACGACTCTGGACAGCAAAGTAACATTTTCTCTTTAAAAATATTAATAAATAAAGCATTCTGTAAATTGGCCTATTGGGCCTGAGTGTGCTCTTTCTAAAGTAAGTACCATGCAGGATGACTGTTTTGATAGGTATGTTATTATACTTTGGGCATGTAGGCATTGAATATTCCAGATTTGGAGGCAGAGCTGTGTTATTTTGCACTATCTGTTGGATTGTAATTTTTCCCTTTACTTTTGAGGTATCGTCACATCTTAATGATCTTCTGGTCTTTTGTGGCGGGATTTGTAACATTCTATTGTTACTTAGGACCAGATACCCTCTTACCAAATATTCTGTTTACAATAAAACAAAAATCCAAGGTAACGTATAATTTTAACAATGTACTTTTGGTACCTCATGATGGACATTAGTGAAATATTGCTTGTGTTCCCTGCAGGCTTCAGCATGTTTAAATGTTAAATGGGAAGCTGACATTTTAGATCGATTCATTAGTAATTACTTTTAGTTGCTAGTGATGCAAATTAAGTATATCCTTGATCTAAAAGGAAGAATAAAGTTGGAGAAATAACTTGTTATTGTGTTAAAGTTGTTTTAAATAAACATTTTCTTTTACTTTTGCACCCTTGTATGTTTTGAAACATTTGAACATAGTTGTTCGGCAAATTTTGATACTATATGTAAAGATTTCTAGTGGGAACAGGAAGTCCATTTTGCCATTGTGATTTAATAAAGTTAGTTTAATTTCACTCATAGATTTAATGGCATTTTTTTAAAAAATCATTCTTTTACCATTTTCAAAAAATTGATTGTAAGACTATCCTTTAATCAATTAAATTAAATTAAAATTATTTGATAGATTTTCATTGATTAACTGGGTAGGATATATTCATAACATATAAAGAATTATTTTGTTGAGTTCACTGTATAACTACTGAATATATTACCTAGTAGTGAACTAATATTTAGAAATCTTGGCTAGGAAGAAATTGTTCATCCTTATTTTGCTTTCTGTATTTTTAGATCATACAAAAAGGCTATGAAACGTGCATATTAAAAAAAGCACACAAGAGTCTTCAGATGTAGGTGTTAAGAGAGTAGTGCTGGCAAGCTTATGAGACTGGAGAAGTGACTTGAAGTTGTAATGAAAGAGGGAGATTCTAAGGCAATTTGTATTTTTCTGCTTACAGGTATCCTCGACTTATGACTGCAAGTGACCCCCCAAATTTATGTTGCTAGGTGACCTAAGTGGATCTTTTCCCATTTCAAACCCTTTCTTGCCACAATTGTTAAGTGAATCACTGCAGTAAAGTTAAAACGGTTGTTAAGTGAATCTGGCTTCCCCATTGACTTTGCTTGTCAGAAGTCGCAAGAGGTGATCCTATGATCACCTGGGACGCAGCAACCGTCATAAATACACATGACCATGGGGATGCTACAACAGTGTGAAAAATAACCATGTCACTTTTTTCAGGCCCATTGTAACTTCAAACTGTCACTAAACTGATAGTTGTAAGTTGAGGACTAACTGTATTTTCAGCTAAGGTTTGATATTACTGCTGCTTTAAACAAATACACCCAGAACTAACTGTAGTGTTAAAAAGGGGGGGAACTTGCAAAGTTTTCACTTGCAGCATTATCCAAAGTAATTCCTATTTCCCTGATTTGGTTGGCTTGATAGGAAAGTTAGTCTTTCAGTAGTAGCTAATAAGGACTAATGGGGAGAAAGGGAAGGCAGAAGAGAAGGAGAAATGACATTTTGAAGTGGGAGCCAAACTCTATACCAGTGATGGCGAACCTTTTAGAGTGCTCAAAAACCGCCTCGCCCCTGCCTCGCCCTGCCTCTCCTGCCCACAGGGCCACCCACCACCTCCATGGCCCACACAGCAGATCTCCCAGGCGGCCCAGCAGTGTCATGGCGGCCACGCTCTCTGTCTGCACCGCGCAGCATCATCTGCACCCAATGGGGTGCGAGGGCGATGTCTTGTCCCCGCTGCCTGGCTGCCATGTCCTTGGCTGAGCTGCTCCGCACAGGCTATGACCGGAGCAACTTTCTGGGGGGGGGCTGCTGGTGACTGGGGGGTGGTGGGGCTGAGGCGACGGCGTGCGTGCCCACAGAGACAGCTCTGAGTGCCGCCTCTGGCAGCGTGCCATAGGTTCGCCACCACTGCTCTATACATTTGAGAATTGCTTCAGTGTAAATTAACTGAACTTTCTAGCTAATGTCTTTCAAAATATATTTATGCTAGGGGAATATTTTCTGTTTTTTTCCATACTGTACAGATAGTCTTCAACTTACAACCATAACTGAGCCCAACATTTATGTTGTTAAGTGAGACACTTATCAAGTGAGTTTTGCCCCATTTTATGACTTTTCTCACCACATTTCTTAAGTGAATCACTGGAGTTCTTAAATTAGAAACAAGGTTGTTAAGTGAATCTGGTTTCCCCATTGACTTTGCTTCTCAGAAGGTCACAAAAGAGGTCATCACATGAGTCCGGGACACTGCAACCATCATAAATGTGAGTCAGTTGTCAAGCATCCGAATGTAAATCACGTCACCGTGGGGACGTTGGGTCATAAGTGTGAAAAATGGTCATAAGTCACTTTTTTCAGTGGCTTTGTAACTTTGAATGGTCACTAAATGAACTGTTGTAAGTCGAGGACTACCTATAATTGCATTTCCTCACTTCCACAACTGATAAAGTTTGATCAGTTTTGTTACCAAAAAAAACCCCCTTGAAATGGATAGCTATTTTCCTAGTATACTGAAGAATGAATTTCTTTCTGTGTTTTGCTTTTAGCAATTAAAATTGCAAGAACAATCTTCCCAGAATGGCAGTTGTGCTATATGTGGAGATATCAAATGTAGTAGACATGGGTGAGTTAAAATATTTTGGGAGGTAATTATATTTTCATAACTTAATAAAGATGAATGGAATATTTTTGTTGTTGTTTCTATAGACATGCATCGCTACTAGAAGATTATCAGCCTTGGTTGGGCCTGAAAGTTCCTTCTAAAGTTGATACTTCCTTATCAGAGGTAATTGTTTAGCATCACCAGTTTTAGATAACTCATGTTACTCATTTTTTTAAATCAGAGGTTTTTTATTGCAGCAGTATCAATTGCTGTTCTTCTAAAAATGCTTAAATACAAATATTTCTGTCTTATTTTCTAAGTCCCAAGATGAACAACAGTTTTCATTATTTTTACAGTTGTTACCTGGTAGATAGTTAATTCTTTCTGGCTGCTGATAATGTAACAGCATTAGAAAATCTACGTGCTATTATTCAAGTGTCTCATAAACAATACTTGCGAGAATTTACCTAGCTGTACTCTTGAACCTATAACTATGAAAATAGATGCAGGGTAGCCATTGTTGTTATGTATGTTATGGAATATATCCTTCAGTTGCATACCATGTCCATGGTTATCTCATGAACAAGCAACTTGAACTACCAAGTATGGAGTGAAAAATATTCTCTGTTTAGTTCTCTTGCATATTTATATGCACTAAGTATTATTGTTGGCTATTTTGTGGCATACATGTCTTAATTATTTTACTTGTTTGCAGATGTTTGAGCTAGTACTAGAAAACTTTATTTATCCTTGGTACAGGTAAGATTCTTATGTAATTTGCCTTTGAAATTCCATCTGACCTTCCTAAAACAGTATTTTGTTGTCTTACTTTTAGGTTTAATTGAGTTACACATTCCTCCCTCCTCCCCCCCCCTCCCAGGTCAATTTGTACCTTAAGTCAAATTATATTGTAAGGTCTTGCTTGTGTGGTGATATTTGACTCTTTAAATTCTGACTTCAGTTTTATTTTCACGTGACTATTTTTGTATTTCTGCCTCCATCTTTATTTGTTTACATAAAGCATTTACATGTCTGCCCATCTTAAATAAATTCTAAGCAGCTCACAACCCAAGAATAAAAACAACAAAATAATAGCAGTAAAACTAATCACTCGCAAGTGTTACCAGCTCTTGTCCAGTATGTATACTTCTCTGGGGATAAAATCCATGACATCCAGTAGGACTTACTACAGAATTAAGAACACTTAACTTTACGGATACTAAATGCAAGCTTTTTTCCCTTTTCCTGTCTATATATTGGTATTTTGAGTGTGAGCCAGAAACTTGTGTGTGTAGAATAGATAGAGTATATATGTATGTTGATAGGATAACTTTATAAGCAATTGATTTTTATTGTTAGTTTAATTAGTATTTAACTTTTTTGTCCTGATTTTGCCTGTTCTTGGAAGCATGGTCACGAATATCGTCCATGCATTACTGAGGCAAATACAAGTATGTCAAAATACTTATATGTTTGGGGCAGGGATTCTTCAGAATTGGTTTTGATGGGAGTTGGCAATTCTTAGTTACAAGACAGGATCCTGGGCGATGCAGAATTTTGTTTATTTATAGTTTTTTTCCTGTTTAAAGTTCCTTTTTTTTCATTTTGAGCTACATTAGATTTTCAGCTTTTTATTCCAACTCTCAGTGCCTTTGATCTATGTCTGATTTTTAAATACCTATAGATATTTTCTTCAATTTCTAAATAAAAGAAATTTTTGATTAAAGGGGAATAATCCCATTATCTGAGGTATAACTTAAATTCCAAAGCTCCCTAGTAAGGTTTGGTAAGTGTTCCAGTTTTCAAGTTTAAACTTTGCAAAAAAAATAAATAAAGTTAAATTAAAATTTAGTGTGAAAACTGCTAGAAGACCATTTCAAAGGCTTCCTCAGAATTCTTCCACTTAACGACAATATTAAAGTGCTGCTCTTGAGGAAGTTACTGCAGGAAAAGTGCTGGCTACTGTTCTGATCTCTAATTTGCCTCAGCAAAAGGCAAATAAGGATGTAGCTTGCATGAGAAATGCGGGAGGAGAGAGGCAGGGCGGGGAACTCTCCCTGTAGTTTCAATTACTCCTGCTAGTTCTTCAGTTCCATAGAATGATCGCTCTGGAATTGGAGATCTGACTGCAATGGGGTTCGTCTCCCTGCTTTGCTTGCTTCAAAGAGGAGAGGAGACCTCATTCCCACACACCCCTCCATTTCTCCTATGGCCAGAGAATGGAGGGAGAGAAGGGTTTTTTGCTGTCATTTTTTAAATTTTTACTTCCGTGGAGTGATTGTTCAAAGAAATCAGTACTGACAGTGGCAGACCTGCTCTTCCTTTATTTTTTTTCTGCATTCACATTCACAGACTAGATCAGTGGTGGCGAACCTATGGCACGCATGCCAGAGGTGGCACTCAGAGCCCTCTCTGTGGGCACGTGCATCGTCACCCCAGCCCCGCCTCCCCCCACGGCCCCCTCATCATCAGCAGCCCTCCGGAGACTTGCCCCCGAGCGCGGTGCGCGCAGAGCAGCACAGCCAAGGGCATGGCAGCCAGGCAGCGGGGACAAGACTCTGCCCTCACGCCCTGTCACACACAGATGATGCTGCAGGGCATGGGCGGACGGCATGGCCGCCATGGTGCTGCTGGGCTACCTGGGCAATCTGCTGCGGTGGGCTGTGGAGGTGGTGGGTGACCATGTGGGTGGGTGGGGCGCAGAGCGGGGGAGGCGGGGCGGTTTTTGGGCACTCGGTCTCTAAAAGGTTCGCCATCACTGGACTAGATACAGCAACAAGTAATCCACAGTTGGTGGTGCAATCTTGGCATGTATCTTATGGAATATTATGGGATGTGTGTTGAAAATTGCCATGGTTGGTAAGGTGCTGCCATGGCTTTCTCTGGAAGGAAGTGGTTAAAGAGCCATTTCCTGACCTCCCACATATATATCGGTCTCTGAGCCTTGGCAGCTCTGAGGATCTGCATGATGGGTAAGAAGAGAGCTATGACTGATCCTCAAACAAAAGTCGAAAGGACCCCAAAACTGTTAGCAAGAATTATGTTATTCTGAACGCACTTATGAATTTTTTCAAAATTTTGAATATTTGAGTAAAGTTCTCAAATTATTAGTATTAGTATTTATGTTTATAGACCTCAGAATATCATAGGCTTGTTGATTTATAGATAAGAGACACAGGAAATAATATAAAGATTAGAAAATGTATACGAAGAAAAAGTCCACAAACTAATGTAAACCTAAAATAAAACTACTATTATTGTTTAATAAAATTAAGCTAACCAAAGCGTAGCCAAACTAAGATGGAGCTACATTTTGTTTTGAAATTCTATAGAGAGATAACTGATGATGAATCATCCGTGGATGAACTAAGAGTAACATTACGATTTTTTGCATCTGTGTTACTTCGCAGAATTTACAAGGTGAGAAACACAATGATGGGATCGATATTGTATTTAATTAATGCTTTGAGGCATAGGCATACTAAAAAATATTTAAGAGATTATCTCATTGTAAACATAATTGTTTTATATTCATTTAATACTTGTGTAATTCTTTAAAAAAAACTTTGGAAAAAGTTAGTTTAGTAGAGAAGTGAAAAGTATTTAATGATAAGTTTTTATGAACTATAAAGAGATAGTTGTTCATCTCTTCTGAATGCTTTTATGAAGTTTGCAAAATAGCTCCAAAATAATTCTTAATAAATCCCTAATTTTCCAAGATCTTGACAAAGTGCTATAGGCCAGGGCTTTTCAACCTTTTCACCAATTGTACCACTTTTAGGATATGGCAACATCCGAGTACCACCAATCGCCTAGCAAGGTGTCAAAATCTTGATGACCAAAAAAAAAAAGGAAAAAAGTAATAAAGTACAGGTAGTCCTCGACTTACAACAGTTCGCTTAGTGACTGTTCAAAGTTACAATGGCATTGAAAAAAGTGCCCCCCAAGGCACAGCCGAGCAAGACACCTGCCTGCCCACCCGGCATTGTTGTGAGCATTTCTGTTGAGGATTGGCAGCGGGGGTGGGGTGGGGGGGTTTGGTTTTTATTTCCCCCGTCTGCTGGGTGGTTGCAGCAGGTTTTGGTCACTTCACATGACCCTGGGACACTGTGACGGTCATAAATATGAATCAGTTGCCAAGCATCTGAATGTAAATCACAAGACCCTGGAGATGCTGCAACCTTCCAGCTGATCGGAGCTTCTCCTGGGCTCAGCAGAAGCGCCAGGATCAGTCTGCTTTCCAGCTGGAGCCTGGCGCTGATCCTGGCGCTTCCACTGAGCCCTGACAGCCCTGCAGCTCCAGCCATCTCTCGCTCAGGCTTGTGCGGTGCTGTCACCGGTTCAGCTCATTCCCCTCCCCCGCTACCACTTTTCTGGGATGGTTGTGTACCACCTGCCATGTGCCAATGTACCACAGGTGGTACCCATACCACTGGTTGAAAAGCCCTGCTATAGGCTATAGAGAGTGGGAGAGCAAAGGAAAGTTCCTTTACACAAGCAAAAGCTACTAGCAAAACAAAATTTACTGTAGAATTTTAAACAAGTCTATTACATAAGTACAATAATACAGTCAGGAGTTGAACCTACTAGGTGGCATGTAATTAACACAAATGTCATTGTATGAACAAATACATTTCATAGTTACCTTCTTAGTTGCAACAGAGCAAATAATTTCTCTTCCTATTTGTCCTTCAGGTGAATATTCCAACTATTACAACAACAAAAATGCTGAAAGCAGCAATGAAGCATATAGAAGTAATAGCGAAAGCTAGACAGAAAGGTAATATTAAACATTGTGTGCCATATATTTAGAAATAAATCGACCTTTCTGCTCTTACATTTGCTTTTATTTTTATTCTTTTAAATATTGTCAGAAATGAATTTTCATATGAATTTTACTGAATTTAATTTTTCTACAGTAAAAAATACAGAATATTTACAGCAAGCAGCTTTAGAAGAATATGGACCATCACTCCATGTGGCTTTGAGAAGTAGAAGAGATGAACTCAATTATTTAAGAAAACTTACTGAACTTCTTTTTTCCTATATTCTGCTTCCAAAGGCAACAGATTGCGGGTATGCTATACTTCAAGTTATATTATGAAGCTCTAATATTCAGTGTGTTTAAATTTCCAATTTTTGTAAAATAGAAAAGCTAACATGTCAGAAAATCTTGCTATAGGCAGATTAGTCTTCCAGTCTTAATTTGTAACAGATAAATGAACTTTGAATAGTTGATTCTTTCACTGTCCATGAAAAGCCATCAGTGTAGGGTATGAATTTGGTGTTGTCGATGCTTGATTGTGCTAAATTTCAGTCAGTGAAGGATAATGTTTTATTTATCTTCAACCATCAGGTATGCCACCTCCATTGCACAAAAGGCCACACCAGTATTGAAATTGCTTATCAGGCCTGCATTGCAAAAAAGGATTCAATTTATTCCACATAAACCTGAATAAAATAACAAGTTGCAGACCTGTGGTTTACATGAATGGATTTTACTTGCCTCAAAACTTCTCAGATCCGTTGAATACTTATAGTTTGTCAACTAATTCCAACCTGGTCTTTGGAATTGGTTTGAATATTTCTTTCCTTGAATTTGCAAAACCAGATATAAAAGTAAATGGATGGGTGCATGAGTTTTGTGTTCATGTATTTGTATTTCTTCATGTTTTATGTGAATGACATATATAAGAACTTACCTCTCTGTAGTATTCTTCTTGCAGAGAGTTAATGGAGTTCTGCCTCTGGGGGTCAACTAGATAAGGAAGTCCACATCTTTTTGGCCAAAGCTTCTAGAGATGTCCACCAATAAAATTAACTTGTCCAGATTCAATGGAAAATATGGAGAGACCACCATAACAACAATCTTTGCTCTTCAAAGGCATGCCTGCCTATATATTTTTGCCTCTGAGTTGAGAAATCAGTGCTAGAATCAAGGACTTTTTTTTCTAAGTGAATGGCTGCAAATCCCAGATTTGGAATAGACTCCTTAGTACCTCTCTGGGATAACTAGCAATAGCTGTTTTAATACCACAAACTGAGAGATCCCAAAGAAGTTCTATTATGTAACTTGTCAGGAATGAAAGATTTTTTACTGCAATTATGTCACCAGTCCAGTTTGAGGATCACCTTGCCTATTAGTTTATGAACAGGACTTCTATTACATGCTTTTATATACAAGAAATACTCTACAGAATACCTCAAAATTCACTTTCTTCTCTAGATGCCTTGTTTACTTGTCCCTTCTCTAAAATGGTTGTAGAACCAGTTATACTGTCTAGAACAAATACCAGTTTCTCTGGAAAAAAAAACCCCCACTGCCCCTGCTTTAATCATTGCATTAACTTTGATAGGTGGATCCCATGATATTATGTTTAGAATCAGAGGGAGAGAAATTCACATTCTATCTAGCTGGACAGTTCTCTGTTATCAACTAACACGTTTGCACTAGAGCTATGAGTGTCTGCCTCAAAAAGCTGGCAGATAAAGGGGGAAATATTTCTGGTTGCTGAGACTTCTGTAATTTTATCCTATCTTTCAAGAAATCCACATAAGGAAACTTAAGAGAATCTTATTTTCTGGGGAGATGGAAGTTCTTAAAAGCGGCAGCAGCATCTTTTCTCTCTCCAAGCAGTAGCATAAAAGAGTTGGGCAGTTGCCATGGAGTGCTCATGCAAAATTTAGAGCACTTTCTTTGAAACATTTTTAAACTTGAGAGCCAGTTTGTTCTAGTGGTTAAGGCACTAGACTAGAAAGCGGGAGACTGAGAGTTCTAGTCCTGTCTTAGGCATGAAAGCCAGCTGGGTGACCTTGGGCCAGTCAGTCCGTTTTAGGCCAACCCATCTTACAGGGTTGCTGTTGTGGGGAAAGTAGGGAAAGTGTATAAATAAATACACTTTGTATAGTCTATGGCGAACCTATGGCACGGGTGGTGGCGAATCTATGGCACGGGTGGTGGCGAACCTATTGCATGGGTGCCAGAGGCGGCAGTGGTGGCGAACCTATGGCACGGGTGCCAGAGGCGGCACTCAGAGCCCTCTCTGGGGGCACGCGTGCCGTCGCCCCAGTCCTAGGCCTTCAGCTGGGTTTTATAAAATCTTTTCGCTTTAGGCCTCCGTCGCCATGTGCAAAAAAAAAAAAAGGTTCAGTCAGTCAATTTCAACTTTTTGTGGGGGAAAAAAAAGATCTTGCAAAGTTGGAATTGATTGATTGAACTTTTTAGTCCCACCCAGTCTGCCATTACCACCGCAGCCACGCCCACCCAATTGGCCACACCCAGCTAATGGGCCACACCCACCCGGCACTCGATGATGCATAAGTGAGTTTTGGATTGCAGTTTGGGCACTCAGTCTCTTAAAGGTTCGCCATCACTGGTCTATGTTATGCTGTTAATTAGTTAACCTTTTTGTTTAGAAGGTGCTTAGCTATTCTAGAAGTTATTTCCAATTGTCTGTTGCATTCAAGCATGTTCTTCTGAACAACTAACAGACTAACCGCTTGGCCCCAACTCTTTTAGCTTCAGAAATGGTAGAGATTAGATATTTGATCCATTCTGGATTATGTTTTTGGCAAAGCAGTGTTGACCTCTTAGCTTTGCAATCACCCGAACAAAGTGAAAAGCTTGCAGTTCTTTAATGTGACAACGAAACAAGGCTTACTTGCGACTTCAACTCTTCATATAGGTTTTACATGGATTTACACCATCTACCCTCACTCCCAACGATTATCTTTTCGGTCCTATGGCTTGCCTTGATTGTCTAAGAAACTGCAGGATATTACCAAAATGATATCTAGATGTACATCATTTTGAGGCAGAAATCCCACCACAAGTTTTTCTTAGCATTCTGAGGAAATCCTGCCCAGACACAAGTAGTCATATGTGCAGCATGAGAAATGAAGGAAAGAAAATTATAAATCGGGAACTGTTTTTTCTTTGTTAGTACAATACATGTAGTGCCAAGCTATACCTTTCTGTGTATCTGGCTTCTCTATATGTATTCCAGGAGAGCAAATTAAATTACTTAGAAATTATTAGTTATATGCAAGGATTACAAGCATCAAGAAGAAACAATGGCCTACAGCCAAAAAACTATGCTCAGTTCCATCCAGAGATGAAAATACAGTAGGCTGCTGTCATAATAAATGCCCTGTGTGGCATAGAACCCTATTATTTACAGGATCACCTGCTCCCAAAAGCTAAATGAGTAGAGTCTCCATTTTTAGAAGTGACAACATATTTCAGACGCATTTGCCATGTATTGCCTGCTTGATTTTAGTGACAGGTGTTGGGTTTTTTGGGTGTGTGTTTTTTTTTTTTGTATTTATTGGTTTTGACTTCTTTTCATTCTTTTGTATGCCCCCAAAGTCACATTGAATGGGTGGATATATAAAGACTACCAAAAAGAAAGAAGTGTGTGTGTGTGTGCGCGCGTGCGTGTGCAGAGCAGTTTTCTGTGAAAAAAATGTAAGAGGAAGTATATATGTATGTACTCTATTTATTTATTTAACAGTACAATAAGAAATTCTTTACACCAGTTTAATTTGAATGCTAACTTCATGAAAGCTTATGAAGAAGGTATATGATTGCATAAAATTGGCTTTTTCTCTCTCCAGGACATTCACCTTACTCATAAAAGAAATCCTATCGGGTTCTGTTTTCCTTCCCTCTATGGACTACTTAGCTGATCCGGTAAGTGCTGAGAAGCTTCAGGTAGTTTGTCTAGGCCAGGGGTAGGCAACCTTGGCTCTTTTATGACTCGTGGACTTCAACTCCCAGAATTCCTGAGCCAGCACTGGCTCAGGAATTCTGGGAGTTGAAGTCCACGAGTCATAAAAGAGCCAAGGTTGCCTATCCTTGGTCTACACAGGCCACGGCATGTGTGGTGGCTTATGAAATGTGCAATGAAGGAGGAAGGGGCTTGATGAGAACTTAGATTTTTATTGAAAAAATTAAAAAATGTTAACCTCAGGGTTGTCTCATTTTACATCCAATTGAATTATAGCTTGCAAGGGTTGGGTATCTTAGTTAGGTGCAATGTAGGAGGTGTTTGTTGAAGAATCTTGGTGGCCTAATGGTTAAGATGCTTGCCTCCCACTCGGGAGATTGAAAGTTCAATCCTAGGCAACGACAGATGTTTCTCTGTCAGGGCACAAATAAAAAAATATCTGCTGTGAGCTCCACGTGGTGTCAGGAAGGGCATCTGACAGTAAACACTCAGCTCTATACAGTCACCCCCAACTGTACCCTGAATTAAGGGATTACAGGGTCATAAAAAGGGATTTTTTGTTGAAGAATCTTTAAAATCTGAGGTGCAGTTTCCCATTTTGCATCCCCATTCTCAGTCACTGCAGCTTGAAGTGTTGGGAAAGGAAACGGGTTTGTGACATTGAGAATTGCTTCCTTAGAATAGCAGTTGTCTTTCTCTTAATGTTATCTCCTCGTCTTTCCTATTTTAGCATAAAAGAACGAACATTAGAGAAGAGTTGGGAGGCAGCTAAGCTTGATAGATAAACTTCTGGTAGATAAACTTCTAAGTTGACCATACTAGAGAGTTAAATAAATTCATGTTATCATTTTATGTACATTTACACAAAGGTTCTTGTAAGCCACATCTAAGGTCTATAAAAATTGTATTACATGTATTACATGTTGCATGCAAAGTAGTACACTAGTAGAAGAATTTCATGAAAATCAGGTTAGAGAAGGCTTTGTAGAATGGAGCTGTTATGTAAATATATGTATGGAGGAGGTTTTCCCTGTTTGCCGAATTATGAATTTCCTGTTTTTTCCCTTAACTGCAAGAAAAAATGAACTACAAAGCCCAGCCCATTAGGATCTCCTTTGTGGGGATTGAGTTCCATTTCGAAAGCATGGAGAAAGGCAAAAAGTTCCATTCAATTCTGTACTCTTCACTTGTAGAAGCAGATAATGATATGATAATAACAACTGATCAGAGCACTCAGAGTAATATCTAAAGGACTTCCTCAATACCTGGAAATATTGAATTTATCACACCTGAACATCAAATTTTACAAAATACTTTTGTGCTTGGAACTGTCTAAATTCTTAGACTGTATCTTAATAATTGTTGGGTCCTTGGTTTCCATCAGTCTTAGATGTGAATCTAACTGTAGATAACCTACACATTAAATTTCTATGGCAGGTGTATTGAGGGCTCTATTTCTAGAGCATATTGCTGTTTCAGTGTACAGTATGGGACCAGAAATAGAGATGGAGGTGGTAGTACAAGTTGTGGCATTTTCCCCCCAAACGTTATCCTTCCTCCCTTCTTCCTGTACTGCTCTTCTACTAGAGCCCTGGACTTGGTCTATCAATAGTCCATTTTATGAAAAAATTAATAAAAATCAGAGTTGCCAAACATTCCATTCATCATTGGGCAGAGGAACAAAAAGATATGTAGCATTCTCTTTGCTACCATGTAGAGATAATCTGGATATTTACATTCCAAATTTGGTAGCCTCACCCTAACTGGATGTGTTGAGTATGTAGGAAAAGAAGTAGGTGGTTAGGTGGAATCTCATATGGTTCTGGGCCCCTAAGTGGTAGTTTACGTCTCAGTTTTACAAAGACGTTGGCTGATTTCCCAATAAGTCTTTCCCACAAGTTGGAAGAAGGGTAGAAGTGCCGAATTCTTCTAATGGTGGGGCTTAAGAGTCTTTAAGAAATGTTTCTAAGGGAAATATAACATTAGGTGCTTTTTGTCTCAGCTACTTCTTAAATATGTCTACCTTTTCTTTTAGGATACTGTGAACCACTTAATACTTATCTTCATTGATGACAGCCCAGTGAGTACTACAAGAAAAAAAGAATTATAGTAATTGTGAAATCATACAGTTTTGTTCCTGGATGCTGGATTTTTTTTCTGGATTTTTTTCTTACAGCCTGAAATAGCAACTGAACCTGCTTCACCTTTGGTTCCTTTCTTGCAGAAATTTGCAGAACCTAGAAGCAAAATATCTTCTGTAAGTGTGAAAAAAGCATGTTAAGTGTATATGCCTTTAATTATAAAATGATGGCATGGATAGTTAGAAATAAATTCCATATTGAATCTTCTATTAAGGCCTTGCACTTTGAACTGAAAGAATTTGAAGACAAGCAGGATCTTTTCTTTCTATTTATGAGTTTTTTGAAGAAAGAAGGAAAAGTACACGTATTGCAATTTTACCTGGAGTTAGGTAAGAAATCCTTCTCAATGTGTTATCTTTTTAGTTACATTAAATAAAAATTCATTGTAAAAATAAAAAAAAGTTGCTCCTGCAATGCACTTAAGGCTGTGCTAGCAAAACAGAAGGTATAAAGTGGCTTCCAAACTAAAGCTTATTATCTAATACATTCAATCATAAAAGAGGATGGAAAGGAAGAAGGAAAATAAGGGGAAAACTAATTTTTAAAGTGATACTTATTACATTAAAATATAAGCTTGGACAAATAGCTTTTTTGTTGACATTTTTCAGATTATGTATTGAACTCAAATTTCTTAAAATAAGGTACTCTGATTTTTTTTGAAAGTGAGCTGAATTGGAAAACCTCTCTGATGCATCATTCTGTTTATATTGTAGTAGCTATTGGATGCCAGTTGGAAGCTCCCATTCAGGGGGCTTGAATCTGTATCCTGCCATTTATGAAATAATTATCTCCTGGGCTGCCAAAAATACAAACCTTTTCCCATTTGTAAAATGTTAGGTTAGTAATTTGGGCAGGCTCTCCTTTCAAAAGCATTTTTTTCTTTATAACCCGAAGGAAGGATTAACATTTTGAGAGTCGTCTTTCTCTCTAACCACTTATATACAATTTGGCTTCGCTTGACTATTTTTGCCTTGTGAATTGCCTTAAATCAGTCTCTGACTTTGCTAATATAAAATCAAGTATTTTTTTTTTACTTCTACTCTATGATGCTGCAGTTTTTTTTACAGATAAAAGAATCTTCAGTTGTATCTCAAATGGTAAAAGCAGTGGTTGCAAATTATCCCTTAATGCAGGAATAGGCAACCTTGGCTCTTTTATGACTCGTGGACTTCAACTCCCAGAATTCCTGAGCCAGCATGGCTCCCTTTCCCCTCAGCACGGCTGGCTCAGGAATTCTGGGAGTTGAAGTCCACGAGTCATAAAAGAGCCAAGGTTGACTACCCCTGCCTTAATGTAACACCCCCAAACTCCTCTGGATTATTTGAATTTTCATAGTTTTCTGAAGAACCTAAATACATTTTAATTTTGGGAATGTCTAGATTCACTTATATAAAGTTGGATGGAATTTCATGTTGCCTCAGGGAGCCACAGAATCTTCACACTGGCCAAATTCAATTCTGAATTTAGATTCATATACCTTTTCTTGCAAATGAATTTCTCTGGTTCTTGGTAAGAGAAACGATGTCAAATAATTTCTAGCAAATGCACAGATTACTTGTTCGTATTTATTCAACAGTGTTACTATTGAAATTGCAGTTGGTGGAATAATTATTGAGAATATTTTAAAGTAAAGGATTAACCTATTTGCATTTAAACATTTTACATTTTATGTTTATTTTAAAATATCTGATTACATGTTAATATATTACAGCAAATTTTTGTATTTCACGTCTTGATTCCCCCCCCCTTTTTTTTTCTCCCCCAGACTTAATTCTCTTTCTATAGTTGGTTTTCTGGCTTAGGAAAAAGCACTGTGAGGGGCAGCGCTTTAACTTTGATTAAACTTCAACTTTCTGTTTGGCCAAAGATAGAACTTAGTCAGCAGTGATGCATCCTATTCTAAATTTTACAGAGATAAATATATGTCAGGGATCCCAAAACAGATTTGTTTCAATTTGCTGGGGTTTGTGTTGTTATCATAATTCAATGTTTATGGATTTAATAGGTAAAACTATCAAAATATATAAAGAACATTTTTTTAATAAAGGAAAACTGCCAGTGTTCTGAACTCAATACATTTCTTTCTTTCTTTTTATCCGCATCAACAGAGCAATTTAATAATAGAATTTTGCAGGCAGAATTATCAGATTCTGAGAAAATGTCCCTCCATGAAGAAGTCAAGAAAATCTATGAAACATATTGCTTAGATGAAAGCGTTGACAAAATTAAATTTGATTCTTTCATTGTGGAAGAGATACAAAGTAGTAAGTGAAATCAAAAGGAAAATATATTTGAAGTTATTGCATTTTTTTCTGTATGGTACTTGTAGAATAATACAGATATTGGATGAATATGTCTTAGCAATGTTAAGAATTTGGGGCATTGTTTTACCATTACCTATGGAGGATATATTGGGAAAGGCTGGTCTACTCAGTGAGCATATAACAAGGAAATTCTAGCATTCCCTAATTATTAAAAAAAATTGCTCTCTCTTTGTACCTTGATCAGCCCCCCCCCCCATATTTCCCATGAAATGAGAAACAAATAGATGTGGTGCCTTAGTAAAAATCAAGGTTGACTTCTGATGACTTTATGGAAATGTACACGTAACTTTTTGACAACAATACAGAAATCATTTTCAGTGGCTTCTTTTGGGATATTTCAGTTTCCTAGTCTAAACTATAGATTTGGGATTCCTTGAAGTCTCCCATTCAATTTGTCTGTCTGTCTGTGTCTGTCTGTCTGTCTGTCTGTCTGTCTGTCTGTCTGTCTGTCTGTCTGTCTGTCTGTCTGTCTGTCTGTCTGTCTGTCTGTCTGTCTGTCTATCTATCTATCTATCTATCTATCTATTTGGGATTCCTTGAAGTTTGTTCATTCATTCATTCATCCATCCATTCATTCACCGAACTTACAAATGGATAGCTTATATAGTTGTAAACACATAAAAACAAAGAACAAATAACATAGCACATCAGACATATGGGCTCAACCAAGTTCTCCTAGCCCCATTCTACTTAATTTCTAAACTCAAACAAAATCAGCCAAATGCTGCTAAGACAGATGTCTTAATCCTGAAATATTAAACTTTCCTATAACTAAATGTTTTCATATTTATTATTGACATGTCTCACATTTTCATCTATAGTTGCTGAAGGCCCCTATAAGGAAGTTGTGAAGCTACAACAAATGCGGTGTTTCTTTGAAGCCTATGAACAAGTTTTCTCGCTCTTAGAGAACGTCTTCATACCTAAATTCTGCCACACGTATGAGGTAACAAGTATTTGTTTATATTTGAGCCACCTCAGTTTGTAATTTTAACTTTTTTTCAGTTTTACTTTTTGAAATTTTCGAGCTCAAGGAGTCTACTTGCTTTTTGTCTCTCAACTGACATAATTCTAGAATGAAATAACTCCTCTATATTAGCTCTAATGTCTGCACATATTCCAGAATTCTACAATGAATTAATCCCTCTATTTTAGCTCTAATGTCTTAAAAGTATTCTAGACTTATGGAATGAAATAACCCCTCTGCTTTAGCTCTAATGTCTGCTTAAATTATTGCAGTGCACAAGTGTGGAGCTTCCTTAAAAATAATAGAGAGATAATAATGTAGAATACTGACAGAAATTGAGCATTATGATCATGTTGTGCCACTATAGCTAGTATCTGTACTAACTACTAATTCTTGGTCCATTCAAAGCTCTGGTTTCCTCTTTTAATGTCTATCTAGGTTTAAGAGAGGTCTCTTCTCTAATACATAGGCTTGTGAAAGTCTTTTCCAGTACAATTTATCAATTTTAGAGAGGTTCACCAGGATGGACCCTAGTGTCTCCTTGGTATCAGGCAAATATTTGTTTCAGCTCACTTTTTTTACTGTCACAAATATGTACTATATACATTTTTAAAAATTATAGTACAGTATCAGAAAATATGTTCAAACATTTTAGTTATTGCTATCTACTGTTTAGGTCTTTAATAGATTGCAGTATTGCCCTGCTTTCCATGCTGCTACGTATATGAGCTATAAGTGATTTTTATTTCTAATCTGTATCTTTGTAAAATTGTTTCTGAAGAAAATATAATATAGCAAATGGAATAAAATAAAATAAGCATGCTTGGCAATTTTACAATTATTTTTCCTTATTTAGTATTTCAAGCACCTCTTTCAAGAAGTTGAATCCCCAACACGCAATTCCAAGTCAAACAAGTAAGTAAATGGTTAGGGTTAATCCTCAACGTATGACCACAGTTGGGAGTGGAAATCTTGTATAAGTTGAGGCACCCATGTAACTGACCCATTTTTTTTTACATTTCTTGCAGTGATAATTAAGCAAAAGAACACAGTTGTTAAGCAAACCCATTCTTCTGAATGGACTTTTTTTGCTGCAAACTGGCAAAATGGGTCACAAATAATGGCCACATGATTGCAGGATGCTTCAACTGTGGTAAAAGTGAGCCAGTTGCCAAGACCCAAAATGGGATCATGTGACCCACAGAGGGTGGCAACTTTTTACAACAGCCAGAAGTGCTTTATTGTGCCGTAAAAGTACCCATTCGGAGCTGTCATAACTCCAAATGGTCATAAATAAATGGTCATAAGGCGAGGACTACTTGTATAATATACATGCATGTGTTGAAAGTTTTAAAGAATATATCTGTTGGATGGGTTCATTACGATTCACGTTAATTTTTGAAAATGGACTATTGTGCTTCTTTGGCTGTAATTCAATATGTCATTCTTTTAAATATAGGTAGCCCTATGGTTATGACAGCAATTGGGACCGGAATTGCTGCTTAATGAAAATTATAGTAAAGCGATCATAAAATGGGAGGCTGGGTGACTGAATCACACTAGAGACGGCAATCCCAGTTGCCATCATAATCCCAAGACCACACAGGTCATTAAGTGGGGAGTAGTGGGTGTCTCAGGCAAACAGGATGGTGGATGAGAGCTACAAGTGGAGGCGGGGTGCCCATTCTGCCCACCAAAAAGGGACCTCAGCAACTGTGCACTACTGCCAGTTGGGGCAGTTGTTTCCCCGGTGCCTCCCTCATGTTTAGCCAGGATGCTTGGTAGTGATTCTTGGCAGCTACTTAACTAAGGGCTTCCAACATAGCAGGATTAGCCGGAGGGGAAGGCAGCAGTGAGTCCAGTGGACAGGAGGCACTGCAAAAGGCAGCTGGGGGTGGAGGGGAGGCAGTTGTATATGCAGGGCTGTCTGCAAGCACCCAAATTTTGATTATGTGATCACAGGGGCCAGAACCTGGAGGGGCAGTCATAAGTATGTTTATTCAGCACCATTGTAACTTTGAACAGTCGCTAAATGACTGGACGTAACCTGAGGACTATCTGTATTCTTTCTTCCATAATTGACAATGTCAACAAGGCCATATTGTGACAAAACAGCCATTATTAACAAAAGGCAGCAGTCGTCATATTTGTTATCCAGTGTGGCGCCCAACGACAACAATGTGTCTGTTATACATGGCTTTTGATGCCTGCTAGCTTCCTATCCTATTAAACTATTTTTTTTAATTCTTTTCATTAAAAATAAATGGGAATTACCATATAGCAGAGCGCTATAGCCTCTGTTTAGCAAACTTTTATGTGGAGCACTAGTTCAACATTACCTCATGAAACAACACACTTTTCCAAAAACAAATTAAAACTTCTGGGATGTTTTGCTTCCTATTGCTGTCCAGCAGTTCCAGGAAGCAGGACAAGCTTCTGTCCTACCAGTGAGCACCCTGAGCAAATTGCATTCGTGGTTGTGTCAAGGTGAAGCATAGCTGTGGCAAAGTAATTACTAATTATCTCATTGGTTTTACCAATGAAAGAAAATTCTGTCAAAAAAATGCAGTTTTGTAGTCTGTCTTCCTCTTTTTTATTTCCTCTCAAGCCTCCCAAGAACCAAGACACGTGGAGTTATTTCTGAGTAGTTTCCTTTATTGTTCTTCACCTGTGGACATTTATAAATGTTTAGTAAGATCACACCTGGAATACTGCGTTTAGTTTTGGTCTCATTACAAAAAAGATGTTGAGACTTTGGAAAAAGTGCAGAGAAGAGCAACTAAGATGATTAAAGGCCTTGGAAACAAAAGCATATGAAGAACGACTGCGGGAATTGGGTATGGCTAGTTTAGAGAAAAGAAGAAATAGGGTGACATGAAAGTAATATTCCAGTATTTGAGGGGCTACCATAAAGAAGAGTGGGTCAATTTGTTTTCCAAAGCACCAGAAGGCAAGACAAGAAATAATGGATGGAAACTAATCAAGGAGAAAAGCATCCTGAAATTAAGAAGAAGCTTCCTAACAGTGAGAACAATTAACCAGTGAAACAGCTTGCCTTCAGAAGTTGTAGGTGCTTCATCTCTGGAGGTTTTTAAGAAGTGACTGGACAGTCATCTGTCTGAGATGATATAGGGTCTCCTGCTTGAGCAGGGGGTTGGACTAGAAGACCTCCAGGGGTCCCTTCCTACTCTATTCTGATTGATTGATTGAGTCTTGCCAAACTAAAGCACTTATTTGCATAGCTGTAGATATACTCTGTGAGTTGCTAGGGAGTAGCCATTTTTACCCACTTCTTTCTGACTAAACGTTCCAAGCTTAGCTGCCTCTTTGTCCTCTGAAATGCAGTTTCTCCCTCTTGGGAATCCAGACTACATTCCACCACAGCTGCACAGAAAAAAAAAAACATTTTGTCCTCACAGTTTCCTTTTACTTGATTGGAACAATGGATGTAAAGTAACGTGCTATTGTAAGCTTGTAAATTATATACGTTTTGCCAATAAGACTGCTTAAATATACCCCTCTGAAGTATTTTCTCATTTTGAAATTATTATGAATGTGCCATTTGCTGCTTGTTTTATGCAGAAGCATGCATAGAAGAGAATCGTCTGGAATCAGAAGTATAAGCAGCAAAATTAAAGGAGTATTCAAAAGCACTACAATGGAAGGGGCTGTGCTACCTGACTATCTCCTCGCTGAAGGAGAGGATGATTTTGTGAGTTGAGCTAACAATTCTGGTTGCACAGTTCAGCATTGTGTGTATTTTATTACATATCCGCCATATCTGCCATTTCTGCACTGTTCTTTTCATCTGTTCCAAGTCCTTTTTCATTTTGCTTTATGTTTGTTGTCTGTCAACATAATTTACACCATGAACATGACTTTCCAGTAATGAAGTTCTTTTATTTATACAGGTAGTCCTCGACTTACAAGCACAATTTTGCCCAAAATTTCAGTTGTTAATTGAATTTTGACCCATTTTACAATCTTTCTTGCCACAGTTGTTAAGAGAATCACCACAGTTGTTAAGTTAGTAACACGGTTGTTAAGTGAATCTGGCTTCCCCCATTGACCTTGCTTGTCAGAAGGTCTCAAAAAGTGATCATGTGACCCCGGGACATTGCAACCGTCATAAATATGAGTCAGTTGCCAAGCATGCGAATTTTGATCGTGTGACCATCGGGATGGTGCAATGGCCATAAGTGTGAGAAATGGTCATGAGTCACTTTTTTCAGTGCCATTGTAACTTTGAACAGTCACTAAATGGGCTGTTCTAAGTTGAGTATTCTAAGTTGAGTATTTGGGATCATGCGGCACTTTTCAAAATTAATCCTCCCCATCCCAGATACCTTTCATTTGTGTGGACTTCAGTTCCTAGAATTTTCAGTATCAGTCAGCTAGCTGGGAAATTTCAGTCATTAAAACTCACATAATTGGAGATGCCAGTATCTATGGGGGGTGGCAAAGGTGAAGGGGACAAGGATGTCACAGCAGCAAGTTGAAAGCCCAACCCCTTTGTACATGAATTATATTGCACACACCTACAAAGAGATGGGACTTGCATATTTCTTTTCATAGATAATTAAATGTGGAACCTTTACTTCATCGTTTCAGCATCTTTTAATAAAATTAACTAATCATATTAGGCAATATCTGTGTCATATTGCATTAAATTTTCTACAGATATTACATATTGCATGTGCAAGTATCTGATAGCTAGCAAAGGAATTTGTGAATAACATGTTTATTTGTTGCCCCTTTCATAAAAGAAAACTATAAATGAAAGTGATTCAAATTATCTCTACTAAGTACTCTTTTTAACTATGTAATTAATTTAGATTGGTTTATAAAACACATGCAGATATGCATACAATTCAGCCTACATTGCACAAAATAAATATAATTTGATGGCCTGGTGTGGTATGTAATTTTTCAGAACAATTCTTATTAATTTCCTATTTAATTCTTTCTGTTTGCTTCCCTGTTTGCTTATACTTTAAGAAACACTTGGGTACAGATAATCTTTGCTTAGTGACTGCCTCATTTAGCAATTGTTAAAATTGTGAAGGTGCTAAAAAAAACTTTATAACCAATATCCAGGTTTGTGATCTTCACAGTCTCCCGTTATAGTCAGTACACATTGTCCTTTGGCTCACCTGTTTATTTTTATCCCCCTCTTGTAGAGTGAATGGGGAATGCAATGGACTGTTTGCTCTAGGACTGGCAGCCAGTGCTTTTGATGTGTACTCTGTATTGTGTTCCTGCTTATTCTCTTGCAATCCCTTCCTTTCCAATGAATGTGAAAGCAAACATTAATGCTTTTCTTGCTAATTAAGCCAATGTCAGAGTAAGCATTCCAAGAGCAGGAGAATAGTTAGGAGGGAAACAAAAGCCAAAAGTGTGAAACTGATTAGTCTTGTCAGTTTTAAGGTGTTATCCCAGCTTTGGAGTAAACATTCTAAAGGGCAAAGGAGCAGGGAAAGAAAAGCACAGTCATGGTCCCACTTAGTGACTGCTTTGCTTAGTAACAGAGGTGTTGATTCAATTGTGATTGCTAAACGAGGACTATCTGTACAACTGCAAAACGTAAGTGCTTGGTGGTATTAGGAGAAATTCCTCATAATCAAACATCTTTGGATTTATGTTGCTTACTTTCAAATTCTTTTGTCACTGTTGAAAAATTGTGTGTATCCTCTGTTATAGAATCATTGAATCAATTTAGTACAGAGTTAATCATAACCTATCTTGCTTTTAATTTAAAGCAAGCTAATGATAGTTCATATTTTGATTTTTCATCAAATTATGGTTCCATCATATTATGGTTGAGTGGAGAAAACACATCTCAAATCAGTGGTATTTTTTTCAAAAGATAACTTTACATTTATTTAACTTTTAAGTGCAGTCTTATTTTTCGTTGTACAGTTTTCCTTCCATTTTGTTCAAATAGCTTGTCCTATTTAACACTTCCGTTTCTACTGTAAATACAGTGGAAGAACAGGATCTCTACTATGCACATGGTACAATACATGTAGTCACCTAGGCTGGAATGGCCTTTCATGTGGTAATTTTTACTGTAGATTGAAGAAGGCATTATGGTAATGGAAGATGATTCACCTGTGGAGGCACTTAGTATGCCTAATACACCTCGCAATCTTGCTGCTTGGAAAATTACCATTCCTTATGTTGACTTCTTTGAAGACCCCTCCCTTGAAAAGAAAGAAAGGAGAGAGAGAATTCCTGTATTTTGCATTGATGTGGAAAGAAATGACAGGCTGGCAAGTAAGCATTATAAAATGTATACACAAAGTCTTCCAACACTTTTAACATTTATGCTCAGTTTGACACTTGTGTTGTCTCAGATAACGTTTCCAAAAACATTTAAGCCTGAAACATGGAAGAAGGAAAACATCTGACATTTTACGACGTGAAGAATGATTGTAAAATATGGCATTCGTCGTAGATTGAGTTTCTTTTGTGAACACCTCAGGGTGAAGCTTAATGGAGGGATAACAGATCAATCGTTAGGCCCCATTTTTTGTGATCCATTTGTCCATGGTAACGACATTTCCCAGGTCCTCCAGGATAGAGCAGAACAGCTCCCCCGGCGTGCACCTTCATATATTTCCTTGTACAATACCTTTCCCTAATGAGTGGTGTCCATCTGTGAAGAGAGAAAGGCATCTGCAGATAAAATGCAGTCAATTGACATTTTCTTTTAAAATGTCACATCAGAGGCTAGCACACAGACAGAACTGTTTGATCCCCAAAAGTAAATAAGACTTGTTAGTTCTTGGTTGACAGACAACCAGGAAATCCCAGGGTTATTGTCTAGACCAGGGGTAGTCAACCTTGGTCATAAAAGAGCCAAGGTTGACTACCCCGGTCTAGACTGGGAAGTTGGGGGGAGGGACCTCAGAAAAAGGCAGGAACAAACCATTTCTGTATTGCTTTCTAATTTAACTACATGGATGAAACCTGAAATCCCCAGAGTCAAACTTGATAACAAGAGTGTTTATCTTAATGATGACAATAGTAAATTATGACTGCTAATAAAAGCTTTTATTAAGTTCGAAAAGTGTGAGGTTTAAAATATGGTTGAAGACTTGCTTTTAGCTCTGTTAGATGTTTCCATATAAAATGCTTTTATTCTGGACAAATAAAAAATGATAATTTTGTCTCTTTATTTTCAGTTGGGCATAAACCTGAACGCTGGTCAGTCTATAGAAGATACTTTGAATTTTATGTGCTGGAATCAAAGCTAACAGAATTTCATGGTATGCTTTCTCTACCACCTATTTATGGGGATATTGTTGTGTAACAGTAAAAAAAAATTAAGCTTGTATAAGTGAAAATAAACTTTCAACATGTTTAAATTTTATTGTATGACCAGGTGCATTCCCTGATGCTCAACTTCCCTCAAAGAGGATTATTGGACCAAAGAATTATGAATTCTTAAAATCAAAGAGAGAAGAATTTCAAGAATACCTTCAGGTAGGAGAAAACATTTTTGGGGGTTTATAAATCAGTGGAATTATATGTATTTTCTAATAGACAATTATGTTTCTCCAATATACTCTTATCTATCTATCTATCTATCTATCTATCTATCTATCTATCTATCTATCTATCTATCTATCTATCTACAATCTATCTATCTATCTATCTATCATCTACCTACCTACCTACCTACCTGCCTGCCTGCCTATCTATCTATCTATCTATCTATCTATCTATCTATCTATCTATCTATCTATCTATCTATCTATCTATCTATCTATCTATCTATCTATCTATCTATCTATCTATCTATCTATCTATCTATCTATCTATCTATCTATCTATCTATCTATCTATCTATCTATCTATCTAATCTGTAAATACCATATATGTAGCTGCCCTCTTTTCAACCAACTCTGGGCAGCTCCCAGACAAAAATTAAAAAATGTATAGAAAACTATAAAACTCGACCAGCTAAAATATAAAACATTAAAAACAAGAAAAATCTGGTGTATTCAGTGCTAACGTGCCATCGTCTAATGTTCTCCCAATACTTGTGGGAAAGGGCAAGCCTTCAAAGCTTTTTGGAAGACTAGGAGAGTGGAAGCCTGGCAGAATTCAGGGAGCAGAATGTTCCATAAGGCAGAGGCTGCCCTGGAAAATCCATGCTTCCTAGCTGCCATCAGATGACAATATTTGTGGGAAGTGACAAGGAGACTGCCTCCCCTATCTGACCTGGTGGGATGGGTGGATGTCTTTAGGGAAAGGCAGCCCTGCAGATATCCTGGGCACATGCCATACAGGACTTTAAAGACGATGAACAGCATCTTGAATTGCACCTGGAAAGAAACTGGCAGCCACTATAGCTCCCATAACAGAGGTGTTACATGGACAAATAAGGGCCCCCATTACTGTGTGCACTGCTATATTCTGGACCAAGTGGTTTTCAAGAGTAGCCCCATATACAGTGCTTTACAGTAATCTATCTTTTCTCAGCATAATTTACTTATTAGGCTAAATTATCTTTACTGAAGAGACGGCCACTAGATTCTACCTTTTTGTTTTCCTCACAGAAACTTTCACAACATCCAGAGCTAAGCAACAGCCAACTTTTGGCTGACTTCTTATCCCGTAATGGTGGAGAGACACAGTTTCTTGATAAAATATTGCCTGATGTAAATTTAGGTAAGAAAAGTGCTGTTATTTTTTAAAAAAAATGGATTCTGAATTGAACTGCAAGTATAAGGACAACTAAATCAAGTTGCCACTCAAAAGTATGATTTCTTGTCACAGTTTGCATGACACAATATTGATGTTTTCCTAAGAGTACAAGAATGTTTCACTTTAGTACAAGGCTGTAAATGAAAGCCAATAATGAGCTTTTAAAATATCTGTACAAACATTGTTATGGTTTGGTTTGGAATCCACAGATCATTAGGTAGAAGTAGAACAAGGGAACATTTTCATTGACCTCCGATAAATTGTGTCCGAGTTCTGCGAACATAATTTATCTGAAGAGTCTATTAATACTCAGAATCTTAGCTTTGTATCTGGACACATGGTGGGGTTGAAGTGCTAAAGATTGGGTAACTTTTTGATATGATATAAGAAGAATCTGTTTCATGAATTTAGATATGAAACAGGCAGCCCAAAGAGCTTACAAAGTTAGAAAAGTGACAAGAGAATTAAAAAAAATAGTTCATATTTTTTTTTAAAAAAATCTATTCCTCTTTTTTTATCTTTTGGCATGCAGGTAAAATTATAAAATCTGTTCCTGGAAAATTAATGAAAGAGGTAAGACATGGTGTTTCCTTGTTATTTATAAACAGCATTTATCTCACATAGCTTCTATGGAAACCTGTCCATTCTAACTATTTTTGGCATTAATTTCAGAAAGGCCAGCACTTGGAACCATTCATTATCAATTTTATTACCTCCTGTGAGTCTCCCAAGCCTAAACCAAGTAAACCAGAAATTACTATTCTCAGTCCTACATCCGAAAACAACAAAAAGGTATAGTATGTCCTGTAGACTAGTAAAATATTCTAAATATTCAAGTAGAAGTATGACACTAGTTTCATGGTTCCGATAGATCAGCGGTTCTCAACCTATGGGTCGCGACCCCATTTGGGGTCGATCGACCATTTCACAGGGGTCGCCAAGCAAGGCTGTCCACCATTTTTTCCCCCCTTTTCCGGCGGGTGCCTTACCTCCCTTGAGCTGGGCCAGCTGGTGGTCGGCCTGCTCCGTCTCTGCCGCTTGCCAGCTACGCCTCGGCCGGCGCAGGGGGCGGAATCACGCATACGCGGTGCTCCCGGACAGGGAAAGTCCTCGACTTACGACCGTTTTAGTCCTCGACTTACGACCGTTTTAGTCCTCGACTTATGACCGGTTGGGGGTCGCGGCATTAAAAAGGTTGAGAACCACTGTGATAGATGAAACCAATTAAAAGAACTTCAAGGCAAGGATTTCTTCCTTAAAGAACATTTTATTCAGGAAACAAAGTATCGGCACTTACATAGTTGAGCCCAAGACTAAAGTTCCCTCCCCCTGATACAAAATAACAAGTTGCATTTCCCACCCCAGAAAGGCCGTCATAAATCACATTCACCAATTAATCTAAAATCCTCCCCACATTACTGCCCTGCCAAAACTTTATCTAGAATTGACCTTGAAGCTCACCCAGTTGCAATTGTTTAGGCTAACTTAAAAAGCTCAAGCATTCCTCCCTCCCCCCTTCTACATCTGAGAACCCCAAGCAACAGAAAAAGCACAAGTAAAGTAAAAGGTAAAATGGCGGCAATTTCTTAATTGTCACAGCGTTGACAACTAGTTAATAACTCACTTTATTATGACGATTAATATATTTCTGTTTGGGTGATTATTTATCATTTTCTTGCATATCCCTCATCATTACACATTTATTATGGAAAACAATAGTTGGCACATCTGATAAAAAATAAAGGATCTTGGTGGGCATGAAACCTAGTATTGTAGAAATTAAATACAAATGATAACCTACTCTAATTTTTATTAACACTCTTTAAAATTATGATTTTTGGCCTCCAAGGACTAGGGTGGTAGAATCGCTGTGATCCAGTGCCATTATAGATTAGGCAGATTTAAAATGTTTGTCTTTTTTTACTTAAGGAAGTTAAGAAAAAAAGCTTAGTTGACTTACCCCCAAAGTGCTTTTTCAAAGGCAACTGGACTTTGTTTTTTCCTAGAAAATGTTTCACTTCTCATCCAAGAAGCTTCTTCAATTCTTTTGAAAAAGTACTTTTGGGACAACCATGACCTGGATGACTGAGAATCTCCATTGACACTTAGTTGACTTAATTTATATAAAAATAGAACCCCATACAGTTGTACCAGTATGCCATTAAAATTTGGGAGCTTCATTTGGGGGCCACCAAAATTGTGAAAGGGAATCCCCACCGAACACACCCATAACTGACGAAAAAGTATTTTGTTTGGTGATAAAATTCCACAACATTCATGCTTTTTTAAAAACCTGATTTTCTCTGGTTTTAGCTTTATAATGAACTCTATAAGAACAATGCGAACCGTTCTGAGAATTTAGAAAGAAGACAGAATGAGAACTATTTCTTGAAGATGATGACAATTGAAGGAGTTTATGACTTCTTAATGTATATTGGTAAGAAATTGCTGACAGGGTTTTTATGAGAATGAGAGCAGAAGTGGAATGAGTGCAAGTGATTTTGTTTTCTGCTTCTTCTTTTGTAATATGAGAACTTGTAGACCGGTTGCGAAATCAGTGCCACCACTGTCTGTGCATTTTAATTATTTAGATTAGAATATTAATGTAGTACAGAAAACAGGAAACTCGTTTCGCCACAGGCAAATGAAACCAAAGTATTTTTGGAAACGGATGCCAAGAGAAGGCAAGCCAATATATGTTCCCTATTTCATGCGCTCTACCAGTGGAACTTATTGCTAAGAATAAGTATAAAACGAGGGTTCTCACAGTCATAAGTTCCTTATTAAATTCTTAGAAAGGCAGGCTTCTGCAAGCTGGAAGAAAAGTTATTACAACATACTGCATAGGTACTAATTCTGTCCAAGGTAAATATGCATTGGCAAAAATTTTCAACATATGAATATTTTTACAATTTGAGAGAGAAATAATATTTCAGATTATCTTGGGAGTCACTTAATAGTGAAATGGATGGCATATAAATTTAATGAATGTGTGTGTGTGTGTGTGTGTGTGTGTGTGTGTCGTATTCCTTAATCTCCCGTCTCCCTCAGAGAGGGACTCTGGGTGGAAACAAACAAACGAATAAAATTTTATTGTAAATATATGTCAAACATGAAATAGAAGCAATTAAATAAATATTAGTTTTTTAGTATAAAAGGCGAACTAATATTGAAGCCATTTAAGTTACTTAGCATAGACAATTCAGTTCTTTTTTATTTGTGCATGATTCGGAAAAATCCCTTAAGTTATTCACTATAAAGTGTAAGCCTTGATTTAGGAACATGTTATTTGAGAGTATGAATACTCTGTTATGCTAAATTAACTTTATAATCTTTTGAATTGATTTTGTCTGTTCAGATTGTGACAGAAATGTGTTTTAATAGGCAATATGTTGTTTGGGTTTAGAGAATGATTGAAAGATAAATACGGTGAGTGTAAAATTCCAGAGCATGTTTGAAGAATGTATAATATCATCATACTTCTGATTGTGCATTAAAGGCAATGAAGGACTGTTTTCTATTATATATATGAAAAGGTTGACTTGCAGACGAAAATCGCTGCCTTGTGCTCATTTTCCTTGATAAAACCATAAAATACTCAGGATTGGACAGGAGGTGGTAAGACGAGGAGAAATTAAATAGAATCTTCTGATTAGCTATCACTGAGTAATATTTTTAAGAAATGACACACACCGAGTGATTTTGCCTGGTCGTGGGCGGCAGCCCATTGGTTGGGGACCCCTGCCTTATTGGATCAGGTCGTAGACTGGCTAATCCAGCAAGGCTGTTAACTAAGATATCCATGGTAGATGAAGGCATCCGTTCTTCTGGTAGATAAGATAGCCTTGTTCTCAGTGTCAGAGCTGAAGTATTCTGCCATCTTTCATAATTGGCTGGAAAATAAGCTTTTTAATCTTTGTGAAATCTAAAAGTATAAGTTGAGAAAGTAGACTTTTAGTCAAAGATGAAGCAGTTGCTTTGATGTTAAATTTGTGTTCTACAATAATATAAAAAGTATTCTATGTTACAGCTAGAGTTGTTTTCCATATCCCTGACTGGCTTCATCACATCTTGATGGGTGGAAGGATTCTCTTCAAAAATACCTTAGAAAAATATATAGACAACTACTTGCAGTACAAACTAGAACAGCTCTTTCAGGAACACCGTCTGGTCTCACTGATAACACTTCTCAGAGGTTAGTAGAAAGCTGCAAATGAAGTCTTGTTATCAAAGATGTTGTTCTGTGTACATGGAGAAGGGTTGGCAGTCTATCACAGGCAGTCTATGTTAGCAGAAGCTAAATAAAACAAGTTTAATTTTACAGTGTTACTCTGAGGCCAAGTCCCTATTATTTAAGTGACTTAAATTGGCCAACTAATTAAAGCAAGTCTGCGTGAGTGGTTCTACATTGTCCCCAAAAAAGTGTTGTTGTTTTTTTTAGATGCTGTATTTTGTGAGAATTCTCAACCTCGCTCTCTCCAAGATAAGCACAAACGGGCAAAGCAGACCTTTGAAGAAATGATGAAATACATTCCAGGTTCAGTGTTTATGTGGCATGATTTATCAAGAAGAGAGGCAGTCTAAATGACCAAAGTCCATCAGGTTGAATGGCACTTGTTAATATAAACATTCTTACTATATGTTTATCAAAGCATTCTAGTATAAAAGGAGTGTAGGATTTAGAAATAGCTTCAGATGTATTGTCTTGCTAAAACTCATGACGCCCAAATGGGCTTTATAGGTATTGGTCTTTTCCTGTCCCCTTTACAAGCCATTCCCCTTTATTCTAATAGTGGCAGTGACCAAAGGTGGTACTAGTCATAGCATCTTCAGGAAGCAATATGCCCTTTGAGTTGAGTAGCATGGGCTGTGCTATCATATTACTGTTATATAGTGTTTAGTGGAAGAAAACATACAAATTAGAAATACGTTGGTTTTAATTCATGTAACAAGTTTTAAGCCACATGCAATAGCAAAAGCACTTAGACTTATATACTGCTCCATAGTGCTTTACAGCACTCTCTGAGCAGTTTACAAATGTCAGCATATTGCCCCCAACATCTGGATCTTCGGAAGGATGGAAGGCTGAGTCAACCTTGAGCTGGTCAGGATCAAACTCCTGGCTGTGGGCAAAGTTAGCCTGCAATACTGTATTCTAACCATTGCGCCATCACGGCTGCATGCAGGCAGTGCAATTTCTAGTATACATAAACTGTATGGTTGAAGCTATGTACACTGTTTTCCAATTAACTCACTGCTTGCCTTTGTAGGTATGGTAGGAAACAGACTCCATACTAGATTGACTAGATTGGTAGAATGGTTCCTTTACTGCAGATCTTCCAGATGAATTTGAGTTACAGCTGTCAGCCAGTTTTTCCACTAGTGAGGAATGGAGCAAGTTTCCCAACCCTATTCTATATGAAGGCAAAATCAGATGGAACCCAGAATTACGATAACTAAAATGTTATGCTAAATGGAACCAAAAGATGACCTCTTCTTCACTAGAACTGTTTCTCCTAAATAAATGGCAAGAGTTCAAGAAACCAGTTTTGTACTTAAATATCCAAAAGCGTATGGGTAATGTAGAAAGAGGTTTTGGAAAATGGAAGTAAAGGAGGTAGCAAGCAAACAAACAAAAATTTAGGAATCGGCTAATGGATTGTGGTGCGGCTGAATTTTGTTAGTAGCTCCACAAATATATTCTGAATCCCCTTCTCAAAACCAGCATCTCATGCCCAGGACATAACCAAGGCAAAATGCCAAAATGGAAATTGAAGTTTACAAGATGTGTCATACTCCCTGCATTATAGAATCAGGTCCCAAATACATTGTACTTTATTAGGTGTGGATTTTTTCAACTGCTAAGTCAAGTGGTCCATGAATAAGAAAAAGAAAATCTGGCTCTAAAAATGTGGGTTGAATGACAGAAAGTAGCAATCATGCATCTAGGAAAGGACATGAAACCGAGATTAAGCAAATCCCATGTTAATCCTAGAACTCTAGGTCAGTGGTGGTGAACCTATGGCACGCGTGCCAGAGGCGGCAATCAAAGCCCTCTCTGTTGGCACACGTGCCACCGCCGCCAGCAGCAGGTTGCCACCGCCGTCCGGAGGCTGCCACCGCCATCCGGAGAAGGAGCCCCACCCAGCACAAAGGAGGCAAAGCGGCCGACTAGCAAGCTCAAGTAGAGGTGGTAGAGCAGAGGTCACCAACCATTGTCGATTGGTGGACTGGAAGAAAAGGGAGGGGGAAGCATTTTACATGCGTGCATGCGTGCACGGGGCCGCGAGCACGCACGCGCTGCAAATAGGGTGGGGCTAGTGCCTGCATGATACTCACTAGCCCTGCCCCGTTCTTACGTGGTGCAGCACCTTGTATCTGTACCCCGCAGCGCGGCGGTAGCCGTTTTTGCGCCTTGCAGCACTGTGGCCCATTTTTGTGCCCCTGGGTTTTGCGTGCCAGAGGCGGTACTCAGAGATGCCTCCCTGCCCCCCCCCAAGGGCACCACACTGCTGATGCGGCCCTGGCACTTTGCAATAAATAAGTGGGTTTGGGGTTGTGGTTTGGGCACTCGGTCTCTAAAAGGTTCGCCATCACTGCTCTAGGTCAATACTATAAAAGATCTGTAGTCTGGTCTTGGGAAGTGAAAATTAAATCAAGTAACTGAAGTAAACTATTTGACTAAATATTAAAAAATATGCTATTGAAGGCAAGTTGTTGTGTTATGTTTTAAACATCTGTATTATAATGAGGGCTTTGGAAGAGACTTTGCTTACCTGTTACTTGGGGAAGTGGAAATGCTATGGGACTGAGCAATAACTGATTTTTAAATTGTAAGCCACCCAGAGTTGCTTTGCAGAATAAGGTGGGGCAGTGTATAAATTTAATTAATAATTAACACATAACCTTGGGGGGAATTAGTTGGGGAGCAGAGAAGTCTTGGTGCATAGCAACCGTTCCATTTGTTCAATTTCTTCTAATGTAATCGTTAAGAAAGTGCCCAAAGAGCTAGGCTGAAATGCCTATGGAGCTACGCAGGCCATTTTTCTCATTTGAAGGATTTACAGTTGGGGGCTGCTTCAAAAATGAAATTCCTACCTCTCCGATATAATTTCTTTACATGATGGAAAATTCGAGATATTTAGATCGTTGGTAAGAACTGTGCTCGAAAACAAATTGGAAGCCAGTGGAGCAGATTAGATATGTAATCTACATACTGCAAATTAGCCCAAATTTTACATTCACTTAGTTTTTTGGCTTTTATGGCCCTGCTGGAGAATACATCCTCAGATAAGGAAGATGGAAAACCAACACATCCCCAGGACTCCTTATTCACACACACTGATGCCTTCTCAGACATTCAGTCCTTAGTCCTAGGCAGAGGCACTTAATGAAGACTCGGGAGCAAAGAGCTGAACTTCACAGATCCGAGATATTAGCTAAAAGGAATGGAAATGCAAGCAGAGAGCAGTTTCTGCATCTCCTGTGTGATGTGTCTCAGCTGTACACCAGCTGGAAACTGAATGTGGCTTATTTATTGCATTCCTTCCCTCTTTAAAGTGCTGAGAATAAATCATCAAAACCCAGTTTGACCTGCATGCATGATCCACAGCTCCATGCAGAGTGCATTATAATAATAATCCAGTCTTGAAGTAACCAAGGCATGAGTGACTGAAAGACCTCCCAGTCAAAGGAGAAGGTACAATTGGTTATTGCAGGTAATCAGAAGATTATCTATGGTAAGAAATATACTGGCTGCCCATGGTATATTTAAAGTATACTGCTAAAATGTTTTACAGAAATCAGGCGTTCACTCAATTGCCACCAACAGTTACGCCTTTGTAGAATAGATGTTTCGACTGACAAAGCTTTTGGGGCCTGGCTTTAAGTTTGAATTCCTTTTATTTGAATTGACTTACTCATGTTTTGATGTTGTTTGCAGATCTGATAGGTAAATGTATTGGGGAAGATGCAAAATATGAAGGCATAAGACTTCTATTTGATGGATTGCAACAGCCAGTACTTAACAAACAGGTGGGTTCTATTTAACACACTAAGCACCTATTGTATTTAGGGGTAGAATTTTTGTCCGTTTTAATTTACAGTTTTAAAATACTGTGCAATCATTACAAGTGTGTGCACAGCTGTCTTATATTAATACAGACATATCAAACTTGCGACGTCACGTGACATCGTGCGCATGTCAGAACTTTTTTCCCATTGCCGACAATGGGGTGGGCGCGGTTTCCTGGTGACGCATCCGGTCCGTGGGCTGGCAGTTTGACACCCCTGTATTAATAGCTAGTATGCAAAACAAACTGTAAAGAAATAATGTTCTAAGTTTTAGGAATGTATTTCCAAATACTGTTTCTGTATGATAGATGTGTGGCTGAGAGAGCAGCACAATTAATAAGCATAGCTATGTTGTGTTTCTGCAATTAATAGCAGGAACATTAGTCAAAGAATTAAGCACTCCAGAATAGCAAATGTCATTAATGGGCTAAGTTAGGTTAAACTAGGCCAAATCTCTTGGCATTTCCAGACTCAGAGATTGGATGAGGCCCATAGAATGCTGTTTATGTTAGCCATAGCAGATCTGTTTTACATTTGTATCTGTAAATGAAAGTAATCTTTGTATCAGAGTGAATTGGGGGGGGGGTGTTTATGAAATGGAAAGCCTGGGGATATGAGGAGGAAGAAATGGAAGAATCTAGACATTATAATTTGCTGAGAGAAGATGGAAAAGGAGGAAAAGGGCAGAAGAAAAAGTGATCAGGAATGGAGAACTGTAGAAGATGATAAATAGATAAACAGCCAAACATAACTCTGGACAGAACTGGTAACTGTTAGAGATTCATGCCAGAAAATAAGAAAGACTTAGAAGAGAGATTTCAAAAGGAGAAGACGAGTGGATATAAAGCAGGATGAACACAGAGTATGGATGGATAGGCACCAGTGGTTACTAGTTCTCAACTTCATGCTTTGTCATTGGGCCTCTGACACATTTCCCTTTGTGAGTAAGTAGACGTAGATTACTTTCAAAATTGTTAAAGATGGATTGTAATTTATTGTGACTACTGGTTAACAGCTTACTGCATTATTATTTTTTTTAAATAATGCAGTTACTGAAATTGAGAATACATTTTAGCTAATTTTTGAAGATTCTGGTTATCTAATGAATGATAGTTCTTTGGGCTGCTAAGTTTGTGCAGACCTTTCCATGTTAAGGTAGTGTTTAAAAAGTTCAAAATTGCAACTTTTCTTTGCATTTTATTTTTAGTTAACATATGTCCTACTGGATATTGGGATTCAAGAACTATTTCCAGAGTTGAATGGTATGTTGTAACACAAACAGTTCTAATTTATCTGATCAATGATGTAAAACAGCGGCCCCCGACCTTTTGGGCACCAGGGACTGGTTCTGTGGAGAGAGGTTTTTCCGCAGACCGGATGGGGCATGGTTTCATGTGCTGCCTGCATCCTGCAGATGGGGCTTTGCTTGTTTGCCCGGCCTGGTTTCTGGCATGCCATGGATTGGGGGTTGGGGATCCCTGATATAAAATACTAGTGTAGGCCAAATATCTTTTGCGCATAAGATTTGCTTCCTCTAATTAATTACTTTTTTTTTTTACTCAAAAAAGAACTAAATGAATTAAAGCATTGTAGAAAAGATGAGTTGGAGGAATCTTACTAGTTGTCTAGTCCAGGGGTAGGCAACCTTGGCTCTTTTATGACTCGTGGACTTCAACTTCCAGAATTCCTGAGTCAGCCATGCTGAGGGGACAGGGAGAGGTTTCCATGCTGAGCCATGCTGGCTCAGGAATTCTGGGAGTTGAAGTCCACAAGTCATAAAAGAGCCAAGGTTGCCTACCCCTGGTCTAGTCCAACCTCACTGCAGAAATCCATTAAACCATTCCTGATGTTGGCATTCAGCCTCACTTTGAAAAATCTCCAGTAAGGGAGAGTCCCGCCACTTGTACTGGGAAGATTATTTCATTGCTTAACAAGTCTTCGTGTCAAGAAATCCCTCCAACCTGAATTGGATTAATTAGGGTGGACTTTTCAGCATTCCTCTCCCCACCTTCATTGTAATATAAATGTATTTATTCAGCCATTATTAAATCAAATGTTCCTTCTAGAGACATCTTTGAGGTTTTATAATAATAAAAATTATTAAAGGAAAACATAATTGCTTTAATGTGTCTCTAGTGTAGCAACTGTTGCAGCACTTAATGACAATTGTTTCCTTTTGAGACAATGCAAAAAGAATAATGTTCTTCGTTACTGGTATTTGAATTATGTTTTGCTCATCATCAATTTATTTCTGCACCCCACTTTTTGTTACTTAGGTTAGAAGCTTCATTGGGAAAACACTCCAATATAGGAAGTTTTTTTAAACGAGTTGTATTTTTCCACTAAATTCTATTTTTCCACTGTATTTTATTTAGATGTAAGAGCACATTTGATGTTTGTTGTAGACACATATAAATAATGTATATAAACAAATAGGAATGTTTTAATTAAAGTGTTCACTACTGCAGAAAATATTATCAGGATCACAATCTTTTTGAGTTTCCCACTTAGTGATTGCAACCAATGTAGTGTTTACACGTGAGGTATCCACACTGGAATGAATTAAAATTGCAGGGAAGCTTGTACAGGACCCCAGTCATTGCAAGGCGGAGCTTTTGTGAAGTATCCTAATAGGTAGTGGCCCTTAATTCATCAGTGCAGAAAGGGAGATCGGCCAAAATGGATTTTTTATTATGCCAATTCTGAAATGATTTTTTAGAATATCACTGTAAAGAACTTAAATAGATAATATTTAATATTACGGCTTTACAATGGTACCTTGGTACTCATTGTTAATTGGTTCCAGAAGGCATGATGAGTACCAAAAAGATTTTTCCCATAAGGAATAATGTGAGTCACAAGGCAGCTGATATCATCAAATTTTAGCTTGTGCATTGAGTATCAAATAAACGATAAGTACCAGGACAAAATGTTCATGTCAGAACACATTGAGTACTAAATTCGATGAGTTTCAAAGCAGTTGAATACCAAGGTACCACTGTATTATTATTACTTATATTTATTGTACTAATTAGTGGTGGTCTTTTCATTGGCTGTTATATTTTCTCTGCCCTCCTCCCCCATTATTTTTCACAGGTTGAAAAGAATGGTTCCTTTATCTTATCAAGATCACATACAGATCAAGATAGTGAATTAACTCCGTTGACTGCTGTGTGCTAATTTAATGACTAGGTTATTTGTTTAGTCTTGTATATTTGTTTGTACATATAATTAACCTTTATTTCGGAAAACAAAAACTTTTACTCAAGAAAGATTGATTAAAGCCTATTGTTTATTGAATCTCAGGAAAATTCCATTATTTATTCTTCTGAATAATTTTCGCTGAGAAAAAATGCAGAACGTAACTTTGAAAGATTATTCAGACTTCATTCATAAAGACTTTTGCATTAACTGAAGATCATGTACAGAACCAAAAATGAAAGAATGCTCTTTTTATTAAACAGATTTTACAGAAATTGTTGCATAACACCATTTACTGTCACCGGCCACTTTTCATGAATAACTTCATTGGAATTCTCCAGCCATGCTTTGTGCTGTTATTCAGATGCAAATGGAAATCTGTGATTTATATTTCCGCCATTTGTGATGTCCCCCAGAGGATAATCATTTGCTTTTTTGGATCACTTAAATTGTTTTTAAAAATCAAAGATGCTACATATATACACATTATATACATAAATCATATACATATTGTATGTAGTGAATTTCAAAGGATTCCAGCTACTCCAAGAGCAATTAAGAATTTACATGCCGGCTTCTGAAAGTCTGCAGGAACTAAGTGTTGAGCAGCTGAAGTCTAAAGAGTCTGAAATAAGGTTAAAATTAAAGAATGAAATATAAAAGTGAAATGCATAATCCCCAGGTCAAAAAAAGTTGTGCTTGGAATAAAGTCCCAGCCGAAAATATCACACGACCTTCAACTGCTGGATAAACCTTTCCCATTCTTTTGATGTAGTCACCAACAATGGAAATATCAAGATTACCTGTTTAAAACAAATTGTTTAAATAACTTAATTATTCCACATTATCCAATTATGAACTGCCTATAAATGATCTGTGTTAAATAGATTTCAAACAATGAAATTGTTTGACATAGCCACTGTTAAATTCCTTGTCTTAGTACAATACAATAATCTCACATCTCCTTGCCTTCTACTATGATAGTATATTCCTAGGACAGTCTTCAAAGATTAGGTTACATTATTCTTACAACAAATAGAGGTCACACTGTGTAAAGGGAATAATTTCATTTTTGAAAAGTAATCACATTTGTACTTTGCCCAGGGAATCTGTAGCCAAGTATATCTGGTGGTTCTGTTCCCATGCAACCTTCATTTTATATCACCCAGGAGCCTAGTTTTTAGTAGATTAGTTTGAGAATAGTGACTGATTCACTCAGTGCTCTGCTGTGAAATTAACAGCTGAGTAAGCATTTCAATCCGGCACTCCCCAACGTCAGTCAGATACTTTAGGCATTGTAAAATACTGGCTTTTAACTTTAATATTGTTTTTTTTTTTAAAAAAAAAAACCTGCACAGGATTCATTTATGGCTATTTGAAATGGAAAATACTCAAAAGTTGATCAATTTTATATAGCAGTCAATCTCATTCAAGGCAACTCTGCTAGAGTTGTGTTTTTATGGTTGAGTTTTTATGGTTGAGTTTGAATGCTAGTGTGCATTTTCTTGAATGGCTGCCACTGTCCTTGCTGTTGGTCTTACGCATATTAAGATTTCTCTGTCTTTCTATTCCTAGACTTTATAAACTGCACACACAGCATCGGGAGCCTGAAGAGGTTTGTTGCTGTAGTTGCACAACAAGGAAGCAATACCAACCCTGCCACTAGATGTAGAAGAGCAGTGGAAATCTTTAGGGAGAAACTTGAGGCCTTCTAGTCTCCAACTGCATTTTTTATACACAAATCAAGTAGAGTTCCCTAGCTCAGTGGTTCTCAACCTTTTTAATGCCGCGACCCCCAACCGGTCGTACGTCGAGGACTAAACCGGTCTTAAGTCGAGGACTAAACCGGTCGTAAGTCAAGGACTAAACCGGTCATAAGTCAAGGACTTTCCCTGCCCGGGAGCGCCGCGCATGCGTGGTTCCGCCCCCTGCGCCGGCCGAGGTGTAGCTGGCAAGCGGCAGAGACGGAGCAGGCCGACCACCAGCTGGCCCAGCTCAAGGGAGGTAAGGCACCCGCCGGAAAAGGAAAAAATGGCGGACAGCCTTGCTTGGTGACCCCTGTGAAATGGTCGATCGACCCCAAATGGGGTCGCGACCCATAGGTTGAGAACCGCTGCCCTAGCTAGTTTATAAATAAACCTGTGTTAATAGCTTGAACACAAATGCTGCTTGATTATTTTATTTGGAAGTAAAAGAGACAAAGATGATAGCAATAGTAGTAGCACTTTAAACTTATATACCATTCCCTAGTGCTTTACAGCACTCTCTAAGCAGTTTAAAGAGTCAGGATATTGCCCCCCAACAATCTGGATCCTCATTTTACTGACCTCAGAAGGATAGAAGGCTGAGTCAATCTTGAGCCGGTCAGGATTGAACTGCTGGCAGTCAGCAGAATTAGCCTGCAATACTGCATTCTAACCACTACACTACCACGGCTTTTGATCAAAGATGACACTTCGATCAAGTTATGTATTTTTATCTCAAATCTTGCTTTACAGGGAAATGGTGATGCCACTTGCACTTCTACTTTCCCTCTTGCATAATAGCCCAAATCAAACTGAATTAAATATTTTCTGCTGCAGTTTGAAAAGGGGGACATAGAAATTGTAGCATGATAGCAATATTGTCCTTAGTTATGTCATGTGGATTCATTTCAGGGATATGAATTCCAGTACTTCCATACTTAGTCATTCTAAGTGCATTGCCATCTGCTAATCACCAGAAAGGCTAATACTTACCACTACTGTGGTTACTTGAATCTCCCTTTAGCATGTGATAACCATCACCACCAGCAGCAAGGAAAGAAGGTAAAAGCAATTTGTAGGTCTTTTCCTTCTCAAGTGGAACATATGTTGGTACTCTGCACTCTGTGCAAAGAACATTTAAGCTGACCACCCTGTTTCCTGGCTTTCGGGAGAGATCGTACACCACTTTTATGCCTATTAAGAAACACAAGTCACAAGTGTTTTAGGTACCATCTCTTGCAAATCTCTTGTTTGTATCTCTAAAAAATATTAATAAATGGTTGTGTTATTCGTGGCTTTTGGGAATAGACAAATAGTAAAAGCAGATTCACAGTACCATGGATGCAAGCCTGCTTACAAAAGACTTGTACTAGCAGAAAGGGAGAAGTTATTTTTAATTCATTCTAAGGTGTTACTTTGTATCCGTTCCAGATTGGCATAGAAGATGATGGTGATGGTTACAGGAAATTCCCCTCCTCCAATTTTCTTTTCCTTCCCCCGCACACACACTTTTCTTTTAAACCATGGCAGGAGTGCCTAAATCTAATACGCATGTGCATTTCTAGCTTTACTGCTTATGGAAATTAGGGCAGGAAGTAAAATAAATATACTGCTTAAAAAAAATAAAGGGAACATTTTAACATGGAACTGAAGGAGTTTGCGTTCCCTTTATTTTTGTGAGCAGTATATATTTCTGCAGAATTGCAAAACAGACAATTGCCCTATTAAAATAGAAAAATAATAGACAACATAATTTTTCAGCGTAATTTTCCGTTTTTGAAAAGGTTTTTAAATCAGGAGTGACTAATTCCTCTTTATAAGAATTTACCACAAAAGAGTGCAGAGGTAATAGTTACAATTGCTGTTTTGCCATGGATTACTATTGTTAAGTGGGCCTTAGTTAAGTAAATAAAGGGGTGAATGAGTAAATATTTCTCATTTGTCCACCTCCAATTCAAAAAGGGTGTAACGCTAAGAACTGACCTGCCATTCACAATCATTTTTCTCTTCATCCTAGCATTTAAATAGTGAAACAGTTTGTTTAGGATTTGGCTGCAGCAATACCGTTTTTATAGCACAATGCAGCTCCGGGGAAAGAAATTAGGACAGGAGTTTAAAGTAGACCACAACTGTATGGCTTGGATTGATTCTCATCTCTTCTACCAAGGTTAGATGAATATCTGTGCTGAATTACACCTGGCCTGCCCTGGGATCTGGACTTCAGCTTATTCTGATGCACATCCCTATGAAAATCCCAACCATAATTTCTTTGAAGCTTATGTGCCTTCCCCCCCCCCCCCGTCTCTCTCCCTAACAGTTCTGCAGCAACATAAGGAAAGGTGAGTAATGGGGCCTCCAGTATTTTGTGTTTGTTTACATCCAATGCTATTTAAGCAGGAAGTCTGAGGCAGATTCTTATTTCCTGTTACCTGGCTCCTTAGTGACACGCACACCTCTAGAACGATGCCCCTGCTGGAGATAAATCATTCTCCCCAGGGTTTTGGAGCAAGAGAAAATGAACTGTTAATGCTTGATAAAAAGAAGACTTTTGCACTTAGTGCTGGCAATCGATGAAGATAGCTAACCTGAGACCTGAAGCAATTCACCCATTCCTTGCCCATGTCGGTGAACACTGTGCTCAAATGCTTGTTTTAGAGCACAACCTTTGATCTGTAGCAAGTCGAAAGTTCCTCCAAATGGCAATACTGCTGTCAGTTCCTCCAAGGTAATAGTGCCTGAGTAGAACACAACACTGTTATACAGTAATAAGTCATATTATGCAAATTTTGTTCATTTTTAAGGCATTGTGGTATTGGTTAAGTAGAAGACAGCCAAATCTTATCCCACAATGAGACTGCCTGCCAGACCTGAGAGTAGTCCTTATCTTTAATGGTATTATAGGAATGACCTTGGGAGACAGGAGCAAGATCCAAGGACTAGAAAAACCATCATGCAAAAGGAATCTTAGCCTTCAAAAGAAAAAGGGGTCTGGGAAGCATCTCAGAAGGGATCTTCCCTAGTTTCCTGGGAAGTTAAAGGAAAGGAGGGAAGAAATGTTCTCATACTTGAAAGGTTCTGCAAATGCAACATTACAATAAAGATATTATAATTGTGCTTCTTGTCTGGGTGACCTCAACAGGCTAAATTATCTTCCAATCTAGTTTGCAACTTAGATGTGCATCTGGTTTGCATCTTAGGCTAAAAGTGGCAGGTCACCATTCATATGAAGGGTAGGAATGTTAATTTTATTTCTGTGATTTCTACCCATGCCATCATTGTAGTATAAA